CTTGACAAGAGAAAAAACAAAAAGAAATATTTAGAGATGAGAGCGGTGGCACTACTATTAATTTGACCGCAGCTGTAATTTCTTCTTGTACAAAAAGGTATTGTTGTTTGCTTGGACTATAATTTCTTTTAATATGATGCTGAGAAAGCGGAATGCTTGCTATCATTACTTTACAATCATGTATTCTAATTATTGCTTTCAGATCAAAATCCAGTACCTTCAAAATCTGAAGACACAAGTGATATTTGTCGCGCTCTGTGGCATGGTGCAGTCGATACCAGCACGGATACTCTGATTCCCGCGGAGCCCGAACAAAAATCGAGCACCGACAACAGTAGTAGAAACCATACACCTCCCCTCGACCTGGTCAGTGGTGATACAAAGCCAGAGTCGACTACTGCTGTTAAGAGCAGTATAGTCAGTCATAGCTACAATAATTTGCCCAAGGTTCATGTGAAACCGCATGCCGTGATGTTTCCGAGGCGAGGGGACACTTTTCCGCATCACCTGGACCTACAAGTGCCAAGGGAATCTACGGGAAACACGGACCGTTGCAACCCGGAGAAGTTGTCCAAAGATGCGAGTGCAAACGGATCCCTCTTGGTGGGCGATGGCTACCACGCCGAAGAAAGTCCTTTTACGTCTCCCGAACTCCAGAGATTTGTGGGCCAGTCGCCATTTGATGCCCCTTCTGCCGGTGGTCGAATACGTCGAAATACCTTTGGGTCAAGTTTCAGTCGCGACCTTAAATTTACAGCAGAAAACGTTAGGTGACTAATTTTCCAAAGTGCAGAAAAAAAATATTTTTTAAATCTATAGATATCCCAGGTATTCTGGTCTAGTAGAAGACTGAATTTTAAGCATTTTTTCAAGTAAGATACAAAAGAAATTAACAATATTTTTAGTTTACAATTTTATTGGCTTTTTAAGAAAAAAAAAATTTAAAACCCAATATTTGCCTGTGGAGTGGGGTATTCAAAAAATCGCTGCGTCCTGGTTGACATGATTTCAGCAAATGTAGTAAAGATGTCGATATCGGGTTGATCATAACAAAAAATTTAAATAACAAAGCGGCGTCGACTTAAAAACAAAAAATGTTTTTTAATCAAATTTTTTCGACCTTTTCGAATATTTTAAAAATACTAATAATCAAAATTTGCTCAAGTCCGAGGCAGACGCGATAGAGAGTAGTATAAAGAAGATATATACCGAATTTCAAAGGAATCGGTTGGGTAGAACTCGAAATATCATGTCTGTCAACCACCTCGAAAAAGTAGTTTCGAGAAAAAGCGTTTAAAGTTTATAGAACATTTATAATGGCTCGGACGCCACGTCACAAAATTGGCTGTATTTCCCAAAATAATTCGAATTATGAAAAATCTTTTAAGGATCATATTTTTAAAAGTCTAATCAATGACAGGATTCAAATTCTTTCGCACCCAATGAAAAATTGCTAATTTTTTTTTTTTTAATGCTTGGTAATTTTTGTTATTATCAAACTCAAGATTCTTTAAGTTTTAAGGTAATTAACAACCAACAATCTGTACTTACAGCGCACACCAGTTCCCTTTGTCGGGGATCATTTCGTTGCCCCCTACGCCATTTCAGGAGAGGGCGCAGTTTACGATATCCTGTCCAGATGGCCTAGCTCATGGACTCAGCGAACAAAACATAAGACTCCACCAGATCGTACAAGAACACAAGGTAGCAATTTATGCATTTTACCATTTCTCTTGAAGCTAATTAAATTTCTTAAACTGTTTTAGCTACGAGAGGAAATGCTGTTGCGGGAAATACACGGCATGCGACTGGCTTTGTTGGAAAAAGGTTGCCCCAGCTGCAATAGCATCGTTTCGACAAATATGGAACATGTAAATAATGATTTTAATATTTGGATATAACTTGCTGGTATATATTCTTGAGTAGCCAGGATACTTGCAAAATGTGTATGATAGCTTGATTAAAAGCAAGGCTGGTACAAGGGCGTTTGCAGGCTTAGCCGTTCGATTTTTTCAATATAAGCACACTCTTAACAAAACAGTGCTTTCAGTAATGTATATTCGTAAAATAACAAATTCGTCTATAATGAAGACTGTTTTAGAAGCATGATAGTACGAGGAACAAGGAGTAATTTTGTTTTAAATATACATATTGTCCATATCCTTTCAGTCGTCTAATTTTTTAACTCTTCTTTAGGAAAATGGATCGGATATCGTTGAAAATGCTTCAACATGTTCCTGGGAAGCCGTCGAAGATCGTAGCGGTCCCCCATCGTTTCCCCCTTCCTCGATCCAAGAGAAAAGAGCATCCAGTGTCCTTTGGGTACCAGATCATGCAGTTTCACGTTGCTCTAGTTGTCAAACTGAGTTCTGGCTTGGACGAAGAAAACATCATTGTCGGTGCGCATCCAACTTTAGAAACTTTACTGTTTTACTCTAAAGATTTAAAACATTCGTATAATTTTTAGCTTGAGTTGAATATAAACACGTTATCACACTTAATAGATTTTAAAAAATGGCCCGTGTAGCCAGTAAAATAATAAACTAGCTTACCTTTTTAATTACTTTAACACCTGACTGATTGGTGTTCAACTAAAGTCGATATCGTATTATTTACTTTTTTGAAATATTTACTTGGACAGATGACTATACTAACAAAGTAAACAAAGCTAATCAAGAATATATATAAAGCAAAAAACAATTATTTTAAATTTGATTAATTTAAATCATACCTACCCGCTAATTACCCCTGGAAGTCGTTGCCTGCTTTAATAAATCAAAACATATGAAGATAGGGCAGGTATGGTTTAAATTAATCCAGTGCCAATCGATTTTTAGTTGTTTTTTTTTTTAGAAAATGTATATAAAATGACGTAATGCTTTCGTGTGGAAATTATGTTGCCCAGGGAAAAATCGTGACAACACCCCAGTACTACACATGGTTTATCAATGTTAATAGATTAGTTTGTTGGTGTATAACCTCTCAAATTTGAAGTTCCAAGAAAGTGCCTTTGAAATCGACCTTGTTAGATTTTCGCTTTTCTTATTGAACGAGTACTACTATTAAACTTTGCAGTTGTTGTTGTACCAAAAATAAATCACTTTAAAAGTCGAGTATACGAGTATTGGAAAAAAGTAAAAACGGTGTTAACGGAATTCAGGCTCACTTTTTAAATTAAATGAATTGATAATGAATGTTAATACTTAGAATTATTTTTAGTGTGAATATTAAATTCCAAAAACAATGGTTCATGACCTGGACAAATTATTAAATAAACGCTGGTGTATTGAGAATGTTTTAAAGCAAATAATAATTCCAATTATATTTTCGTAGAGTAAGTTCCCTCCTTTAGCATCTGTGCTTCCTGGCTGTAGTACTTTAACAAACAGTTCCATCCAATCAATGAATCAATATGAAACTGTCAATAGGCCTGTAGGATCAAAATTAAATAAATTTTGTATCACTTTAAGAATCTAATAAATCTACAATACACTATTTATTTAATACATTTGCAGATCATGTGGAGAAATTTTTTGTGCTGACTGTTCGGAATTTTGGGCGCCGTTGCCAAACGAAAAGCTTTTTAATCCAGTTAGGTTGTGTGGATCTTGCTACACGACCGTCACAACAAATGTCCAAGAGTACGCTACCGTTCCTTCAGAATCCCAGGAGAAGGGCGATGCGACGTCTTCTGCAAATTCCTAAGAGCTTTTCCCAATTAATTTAAGACTACTCTGTTGTATCAATATGTACATATTATTACTAAAAAATATTTATTGCATATGTGTTAGCACCATAATAGCGAAAAATTAATCTGTGCTTTTATATAGAACACGAAACTATACAATTTTGTTAGAAATATATTTGTGGATATATGGAAACAATTGTAAATTTCAATAAATCATTAAAAAAAAGGTATCTTGGGTAACTTGTCACCTTTCCTAAACCACTGAATCTCTGAATTTCCAGCTGTTCCAAACAAATTCATCTGCCTGATATGTAAATTGTTCGTTTCTAAAAAAAAAAACTGAGAAGGCAAGGCAGCTGGAACAGCTGACCAAATTTCAGCAATTCAGAGTTTAAGTCGTTTATGGCCTAGTCCCACAGAGCACCATCAACTATATATTTTAAAGGTTTTGCCTTGCTGAAAATTTCTTGATTATTCCTTGACGGTGGAATTAACGTTCCTAACCCCACGTTTCTGGCCGATGTTTTTTCGGCAGCTGTTCAGATAAGCTAAAATCAGAAGGTAAGCTCTGTGGAAATCGGAGTTTCAAACTTTTCAAAAATCCCAACGGTTTTTCAGGGATGGACTGCGTGGAAAGAGAGTCCGTCAAAGTGTGAATTTTAACGGCGGACTAATAGGGTATTTCCACAGAGATCCATCCACCTTCCACCATCCGTTGAAGGGATGCCGTTAAAATTTGACGGACTCATTTATGCGATAGTTAGCCGATGTTTCTGCGGTACAGCCCTGTTCCAACGCAGTCCATCCCTGAAAAACCGTTGGGAAAGTGAATCTCCGGTTTGCACATTCACCTTTCGATTTGATCTGATCTGAACAGCTGGGGCTCGTCAAAACGTAAACAGAGTCATCAAGTCAACACTCTTTGTTTATGTTTTTATGAGCTACAGCTCTTAAGATCAGCTGAAATCGAAAGGTGAATGTGCTCTGTGAAAATCGGAGTTTCACATTTGTTGAAAATTCCTACCGTTTCCAACGGATGGACTGTGTGGAAAGAGGGCATTAAGCAGAAACTTTAAACTAGAGCTTTTTTAGTTTGACCAGCCCTGGTCTCCGATTGCGAGATCGAATAATAGAGTTTTGCTGCTTACTTTTCGCTCGTTCAGATCAGATTGGCGAATTATAAATATCAAAAATATATATTAAAAAAAAAAAAACGATAATTTATATATCAGTTGAATAAAAAGTCACGATATAAATATTTATTTTTATATAAAACTTATCGATATATTGACATTTTTATATATTTCTCACATTCCCAGCTGTGTCATCAATAGAAGCGCCAAACACGGCGTTGTTTCGAAGATTATTTTGTTAATTGTTCTCCAATTTGTCAAGGACTTGGCTCGAACAACGATGAGTGAGGTTCGAAATCTGATTGACTTGACCGAATGGGATGAGGATGAGCCTAACGAGGAGACGAAAGGGACGAAGCTCGAGGAGCCAGAGCAAGTGGTTGTGGCCTCGAACTTCCAGGGTCCCTACGATCCCTTCGATTTGATGGAGAAAGAGGCTTGCATCAAGGTAAGGTTAGATAGAGTAACGTAGGTTAAATTGGTTTTCACTTTGGCTTTGGGCAATAAAGAGGCCAAACAGTCATTGTCCCTTACACTTGAGCACTTAATTAGGTCAGAGGTAAAAGTAAAAGTGTGCTCCTTCCTTCTCACTCACCTGTTCGCTGAACTCTAACCTATAAGGTGTATCCATTGATTCCTGTTTCAGGGGATGACTTTGAAGACGCAGATCAAGGAGAAGGTATCGAGCGCCGAAACAGCGCCAGATCTGAACGACGAGAGCCCTCCGGTGTGCATGCAGATCTATGCGTCGTCCGGAGAAAACTCCCAGAAGCGGCGCTCGAACAGGTCGATCCAAAAGCAGCTGCTAAAGATGAATGCCACACGGTCCGTGGCCAGCACACCGCCCCACAATCGATCCAAGGCGGACTTTGAGAAGACGGTTTTGAACAAAAGCCTGCAGATGCTGGCGGCCGAGTCGCCGCTGAAGCTCATTGAAGACGACGACGACGTCCTCTCCTCTAGCATCTGTTTCGAGGAAGACCTGAAAATGCTACGTATACCGATCCTGGACGCCTTAAGCAATGCGGAACACAAACCGAGTGCCGAGGACAACAGAGAAGTTAATGAAATTGAGGCCAAAACCCAGAAAGGTCCGGAGCCGAAGCCAGAAATTGATAAACCAATCGCACAGGATTTGGGCCAACTTCTCAAACAACTGCAGATGTTAGTCCACGAACACGTTGAGAAGACCAAATGGCATCTGTTTGACATGGCAATTAAATCCATTGCTGCAGTCATCTTTGGTCCAACTGGCACTTCTCTGGAGGCCCGGAAAGCCATCGATCCAGCGATGCAATCGCCTTACTCATACACGCGACAGGAGACATTCGATCGCGAACTTCAAGTACGTTATTATTTGTATTGAAGTCCAAACCACTTCGGTTGGAATTTCGATTTAAGGAGTTTCCTTCAACACCCACGATTTACGCAATCTAACAATTTTCTATTTAAAGGGCACACGGACACTGCATTCACCGGAAGAGGAGATCGGCTGCGCACCAGGGGCACCTGCCAGCAGTGATCCAAACTTTCCAGACGCTATGGTGTGCTCTGCAGCCACCTTCGACGCTGAGCCTTGCTCGGATCCGTTTGAAAGGGACTTGCACTCATCCCCACCGTCGATTGATTCCGCACCAGTGACCAGAAACGAGCCGTACATGACGGAGTTGATGGACGAGCGTCTCGCTCTGCAGATCAACGAGCTGCTGGAACGTCACAAACTCTTTAAGACGGCGAACGGTGACCACGAGCAGCAGGGCATCGATCCCAGGACTGTTATATTGTTGGTCAATCCCAGCAACTATGGCAATCAGCAAACACAACCGTCCGCCTGCAATGCGAAGCCGAATCCGCTGCGGGATTTCAACGATGCTGGTTCCATGCGCCGACGATCGTCCTCACTGTCCATTCAGGACAAGTGCAAGCAGCTCGATCGCCAGGTGGAAAACCTGCCGCCGCCCACGGAAGTCAAAAGAACTGCCACCGTGGGTCCGATAACCGAAGCAGCTCCGTTTCGAAAGAAGAGCAATTCATTCTCCATGCCCAGTAACCCGTGCACAAAGGCCACCGAGAGCAGGCGCACCCTGTTGAGCAGCCGCCTGAAGACACCGTCCATAACAGAGTCCGTGGGGAAGGCCAACGGAACCGTGAAGGCGGGCAAACCTACTAAGCCAGTGCTTCCGCTTCTAGAGGTGGCAGCGACGAAGGAGTGCACCAACATCAATCGCGTCTATCCACGTGTCCCAGAGACGCCCCTTTCCTCGAAGACCAAGTCCGCCCAAAAGATATCGTACACGAGCACACCACTGCCGCAAATGCGCACTCAGCAGCGCAGATCCATTAAGCCAGTGGGATCAGGATCAGGATCAGGATCGGGATCGGGATCGGGTCCATCTTCATCATCCCTGGGCAATGCTTCCTACTCGGCGACAAACTTCAGGGCCGCGAGCTTTTCCAAGAAGACCGGTTCCGGATAGAGTGCACAGCATAGATAGGAGGCACTTGCCAGTCCCGTGGTGGTGGCCCAATGTCGCCTGAAAGTGAATCTAAATGTGATGACAAGCTGCGTGTGCGGTCAAGATAAACCAACAAGTGAATTCGGCTTGGCTATCTCGATGTTTTTTCGTTCTATTTGTTTATGCTTAACGTTATTAGATAAAGTGAACTGATATGGAGTTGGTTCCAATTCGACTAGATAGTTGGCTTAATTCAGTCTAATTGTTTGATCGCCTGCAGCGTCAAATAATAACATAATAATAAATGTAGGGTTAAACCGAAATACAAGTTTCGTGAATCGGATAATACATATGTAAGTGTATCCATACGTTGAAATTCAATCAAACTGATAAATTGGTCACGATAGCTACCCCTTAGAAATGGCTTACAAATAACAGCTCTATTGTATTATACATCCTCTTTTGAACATCTTCAATCCCACTGAAGAGGAATTGATTCCATTCAAAGTGGGTGGAAATGATGATCTGATTGGGCCTAAATCTCGAATCAGCCACTAAGAACAAGGCACATGCGTAGCAAATCCTCTCTTAAATCTTTTTGATCAAATCATGATCACAACCTAATGGCTTTAGAAGCACACTAAACAAGAATTCAACGAGAGAGATTACCAGATAATAAACTTCCATATATTTAACGGGCATAAGTAGGAAATAACAAACAATAAACAAAAAAGGTCTACTTGTTGAGCTTGCTCTTGAGAATGCTCAACTGGGTGAGGCAGTTGTCGCGGTAGTTGCGGCGGGCGGCCAGCTGGTCCAGCGGCACCATCTCGCCCAGCTGCTTGGCCACCTCGACGGCAACGGGACCCTCCATCTTGGGGGTGGGTCCCATCGTCTCGCTGACCGCGTAGATGGTCTTCGAGTAGCGCTCGAAGTAGTTGGCCATGCCCTCGGCGTTCAGGTGGGCGGTCTCCAGGGGGCCGAGGAACGCGTAGCGCGGCCCCAGCCCGTTGCTCATCACGCTGTCGATGTCCTTGACGTTCAGAATGCCCGCCTCCACCAGGCGCCACGTCTCGTTGAGGATCGCGTACTGGATGCGGTTGAGGGCGAAGCCCTCGATCTCCCGCGACAGCGTAACTGGTTTCTGCCCGATCTCGTCCATGATGGCCCGCGTCTTCTGCACCCATTCCGGTTTGGTCCAGGGGGCCGGCACGATCTCGACCAGCGGCACGTAGTATGGCGGGTTGACGGGATGCGACACCAAAACCTGCTCACGAAAGAAACGAACGCACTTGGCCTCACTCGGTTCTCATCACACACAAACACACTGAACTTGAATCTCAATTGGAAATTGAAATTGGAATTGGAATTGGAAACGGGGACGAGGACGGTTGAGCTTCAAGTCATGATGGGAATACTATTTGTATTTATTAGAATGCCATAAGTTCTGTTTATTCGACATTAAATTCAGCTTGCTGAACCAGATTCTGTCGGGTTCTAACCTTTCTTCAAACTAAAGAGATGCAATAAGCAATAATAAAAGGAATTTATCTGAATATTCAGCTAAAACTGTAGCATGTATAACCACCATACATATATGTAAATTGGAATCATTTTTGTATCCATTACATTATATTACTATTTTGTTATAAATACTGCTGTTTTAACATTAAATTCATCCTCTTGACCCAGATCCTCTCAGGTCCTAACTTTTCTTTACTTTTCAAATGAAGGAAGGGCATTAAAAGGGATGTTAGCCAAACGAACTTTCCCAAAACTGAAGCATATATGTAACCTTTTTTTATACAAAGGTTAGGGTAATCCAAGGCTTTACTCACGTTGGCCTTGTTCTTCAGGTCAGCGCTGAAGAGGGAGGGCAGAAACGTGCTGGTGGAGCTGGAGAGGATGGTGTTGGGGCCGACGACGGCGTCCAGCTGCTTGTAGAGGGCCACCTTGAGGTCGAGGCGCTCGGGGATGCACTCCTGGACGAAGATGGCACCCTTGACCAGCTCCTTGAGGTCGTTGGTGCCCGAGATGCAGGCAAACTGCTGGGCGGCGGTCAGCTTGCCACGCAGAAGGCCCTTGGCCTCCAGGTCCTGCAGCTCCTTCTGGGTGGCGGTCAGGGCGGTGGACACCTGCTCGGGCAGGATGTCGAAGAGCACCACCTGGTAGCCCACCGAGGCGAACAGCATGGACCACGAGCGGCCGATGAGTCCGCTGGAAGGGGAATGGTTGATGGTTAATGGTTGATGGTTGATGGTTGATGGTGATGAGATCCGAAATCGATTTCCCTGCTCCTTCCTACCTGCCCACGATGCCCACTTTCTCGTTCTTCACCTGCGACATTTTTGTTTGTTTACTTCTCTGAGTGGCTGAGTGAGATTGGAGTTGTTGGAGTTGTTGGAGTTGTTGGAGTTTCTGTGGCGTGGAGCTGGAACTGGAGCTATCGACTGCCACTTGGCACGGCGTACCTGCGTTTGAACAACCAGACGGCAGCGCAACCGGTTTAATATTGGGCGATAACGGCAGAGGTGAACCAAATGTACCCTATCCAAGTGTTCGTGTGATGTGTGATGGGTGTTGGGTGTTGAGTGTTGGTGGAGATTTCCGCGGAGATAGTGGGCCGTGCGATAGTAAAGCCATCCCTCTAGGCAATTGGACGATGTCAGGCCGAATGCTCCAGCTGCCACGCCCAAGCCGGTACATGTGTACACACAAATAGGGGCTGAAAAGTACATACTTGTACTCTTCATATGTACATATGTACATATGTACTTATTTACTTAAAAAAAAAAACGAAAGTATACGAATCAAAGAACACGTTTGTCATTCAGGCATTTTGATTTATTTAATGCTGTTTATGGCAATAACAAAAATTTGTTTATAACTTTGAAATAGTATAAGAATCATTGGTACTCAAACCCGGTCCAGTATCGTATTTTATAAAAATCTTGCAGATCTAACCGATATTTAGCTGACTATTTCTGTGGCCGATAGGCTTAAGTTTTCGAGTTCTCTAAAATAAAATGTGTTTGAATTTATTATAAGCCTTTACCTACATACATAGATCTGCAACCAAGTACAAAAAGTGGTTGTCCATTTGACGAGATAATCCACATCCGTCGCGAATCGTTCTTGGCAGGCAACCAATTTCCTACTGGGTGGCATGATGGCAGGGTGGCAGTCGACGAAACTGTGTCGAGATGCCCTTAATTTGACTTTTATTAATAATGCTACTGTACGATTATCTTTGTGTTTGTTTTGGACTTATGTGTTTGCTACCAGCACAAAAATAACCGTTTGAATAGTTAACTACGATTTTGAGGCTCGCCTAAAATTTATATAAGCAAATAAGCAACATATGCATCCCAATGTATTTAACCAATTTTAAAACTATTTCCCAACAGTCATTTGATGTCGTTAAGACCAAAGAAATGGCTATCAAGTTTAAACTGAAAGGTGCTAAATCACATTTCTATTTTGCCAAGCTTACTTTAAATTCCTAATAATTTATTTGGTTGACCGCTTTAGAATGTTAGACGTTTTGATACACTTTATTTATTTTCTTCTGTGAACGAGTTACACTTAGCTGGCCACATAATAGTAGGTAAGTCCTTAATTTCTAAAGACAAAAAATAATCAAAATTTAAATTCAGCTTATTCTCAAAATATATATTGTTTTGAGAGCGGAGTTAAACTAGACCAGTATGACCAGTATAAATATTAATATTGTAAGCTTTACTGTATGTAACCTGTAACACCTGTTCAATGAGGATGTTGACCCCAACACATACGCCATCAAAGTCGTAAGTTGCGAAACATAAATATTAACCCTATGAAAAATGGATTTAAATGTATTATTATATTTTAGAAATAAGAAATAAAAAAAAATGTAAATATATTTTTGAAATTTTAAATATAACAATAACCAAAATAAAATATTTTTTATAAAAAAATTTTAGAATATATTAAACAAAAGTTAATTATTAAATAATTAATTAAAGTATAAATATTAAGTATGAAAATCAAAAAACACATATTGTCAAATTCAAATAAAAAACTTGAAATCACTCCACGTATTTATTTTCTATTTCATATCGTAATTTATAACTTTGATATGTTAGCATAACACCATGGACGAAAGTGTATGTATGTATATATAGCAGTAGAATTGAAAATCTGTTGTGGTGACCCGATGGTATCGAGTAATGCACCAATCGAAAGTTATCGCTAAATGATATGAGGATTGCATGCCAAGACTTTAGGAAAATTAATTAATGTAGGATAAAGAACGGTTAAATTGACATACTAAAAATAAGTGGAGTTCTTGAGCTTGGGTTGGTAAAAAATTCAACTTTTTTAACACAGTTAAAATTTTATTCAAAATGCGCGTCGAATGACACCAAATTTGCTTGAATCTGATTCTCCGTTCAAAAGTTATTTAAAATATACCAAAATATTTAAAAAATATAAAAAACTTTTAAGGACTTGATTCGGAAATTTGGAAAAAATTATTTTGTGTTGGGCAGTTACAAAAAAATTTCTACGACTTTTTGAAAAACTAGCTTATTTAGCGGGAAATCGCTAACAAAAAAAAACTAAACTTTAACTTCTAAACTAGTAAAGCAAGTAACATATGCGGTAAATAAGGTATTGTCAAATACTAATCACGAAGCCTTAACATAGTTAGAATTAATAAAATAGTTTAAAAATTATTTAATTTTTATTTTTTACTTTTTTGCACATTTTAAAAACTTGTTAGAGAAAAGAGTGGACAAACATTCGGATATGGCCAGATCGACTCTTTTAATGAAATTAAAATACCATTTGTAAGGATATAAAAATTAACGAGAATGTTATCTGGCCCTATAGAAATTTAAAATTTGAACAACTTCGTCGTTTTTAAGATATTTGCTTACACTTTGCAAATTTTTTTTGCCAAGTATCTGATTTCACATAAGTTTACAATTATCTAATGAAAATATTTCTTCCTTGAACCTGAAACCATTTTTTTAAAGCATTTTCCCCACCAAAATAGGTGGTGGATACTTTTAGGAGGAAATTCTTGCCTAAAAAGCGTTAACTTCTTCAAACTGAGTAAAGTAGCCGTTTTCGTTGCCTAATAACATCCGAAAACATTCATGCAGAATTTATAAACCAAAAGTTGAGAAAGGTCTATAAACGTAAAAAAATAAACAAAAATCTACTCTAACAATTTTTAAAAATTTGCAAAATATACAAAAATTAAATAATATACAAAATTTTTAAATTATTTTATTCAGAGCAAAAACATCTTAAATTGAATTTCGAATTATATGAGTACGCATAAAAACCCATTGAAGCTAAGATAATTTTTGCCTCAATTATTCGATCGCTATATGATATCGGAAGATTAAAAACAAAAATAATGGGTTGGAAATGTCCTCTTCACTGCGTTGCAAACTTCTGATTGAAATTTTAATACCTTCTGCAAGGATATAAAAATAATTCGGCAATCGTACCGGTTTTTCCATAATCACGAAAAATATTACTATCATTTACTTGTGAGAGGCTTGTTTAAATTTTGTCTTAATTAAGTCAATCTAACAAATTTTAGTTTTCATGAAATTGTTAAATAAATAAAACTGCTGCTTTTTGATAAAACGGTAAGGTAATTAAAAAAAGTCGTGCTTTTAAAATGACGAAAAAAAAGAATTTAACATAATTTTATAAAGCTCAATAAAAACCAGATGCCTGAGAATCTCAATAGCATTATTTCAATGGTTCACTTTTGATCCGAAGCCACAAGTGAAAGTAATCGTTTTGATAATGGTTTGGAATTCGAATAGAGCATACCCAGAAATACGTATAGTTCTCTCTCCCTCAGTGGTTCCATCTCTTTCTTTTTGACTTCAGGTCCCAGGCAAAACAAGTAAATTTAAAAGACTTTAGCGTTATTATATTCAAAAATATATTTTAAATTTTGTTCTATGGTTTGGATTTTAATTAATATTTAAAGTTAGCTAGAATGCTGCTTACAGTGCCATCTTGCGACCCTCTATAGATATTTCGACTGCCCTGCGGCTCTCCTTCAGTCGCTTTGAGTCCAGAAAGCGTTTCATATGCTTTTCGTAGCGGTTTGGCTTACGCTTTGTTGACTAGAATTACAAGTTTTAATTAAATTTAAAGCTTATGCTTATGAGCATGCCAGTTATTGCTGCTGCTGCACTCACCGTAGAGATTTCGCCCTCGACGGTTGATTTGGGGCGGATGACGTAGTCCTTGTTGGAGGGCATGGGCACACGGGCGCGGGCTACCCAGCCGGGATCTCCAGGACGAAGGAGCTTGTCTTCGCTGGAGAAGGTCTGGTTCAATAAGCGGGATTTGCTTGTGGAGGCTGGCTGTGGGTCCGGACTCTTGTGGCGATTGCGCGACATCTGCGCCAAATCACGTTCCTGGCGCTCCTCTTTGCTCATCGCCGAGAAGTTGCAGCTCAGGTTAAATATCGGTCGAGCCCACTCGGAAATTAGGCGACCAGCTCGGTCGCGATTCGTCTTTGTCTCCTGAGGATGTTTGTACAAGTACATTACGGCCTTTCCAATGCCCGACTGCTTTAAAAGTCCTTTTTCGATGGTTGGGAACTAAAAATATAATAGTAAAGTTTATATAGTTTGCCTATATAGGTTGAATAAGATTAAATTCTTCGGGAAAACAGAAGTTATTCATATCGTTGGGTAATGTACTGAAAATAATAAATCTGTTTTAAGGGAATACTTTGGTTTTCGTTTATAAACGTCATTGATGAAACAAGCTTCATAATAATATTAATAATAATTTGATAAACTTCAAAGCCCGAATAATAAAAGTTTGAAACTAAAGAGAAATTCATGTAATTGTATGACTTTCGTGTTGAAAATAAAAGTGAAAAATACGTAAATACTTACATCTGACAAAAGTTTAAGAATACTTTCGCGTATCTGGAGACATGGCAGACTTTTGTTGGGCAGAGGCGCTAGCCAATCTGTAAGTACATTAAGTATGTTGTGCTCCAAGAAGGCGAGCTGCAAGTGCTTTTTGATGAGCTGGGACATCACTTGCTTCAGCATTGAAATTTTCTTGGTGGCCGGCTGGCCCATCATGTTCAGCTGTCGGTCGTCATCCGAGGCGTTCTTCATACTTATGATAAGCTGATCAATCAGATCATCGTTGTCGTTGATCAGATCGATATCTCGCTTGCGACGCCGCACTCGCTTTTCTTCCTTCTTTCTCAAAAGCATTGCATCAAAGTCCGAAATAAAGTTACTGTTTCTGCAATAAGTTCAAGTTCAAGTATAAGTTTAAGTTACATATTAATCCACATAAGGAATTATCTTACTCTGGTTCATTTGAAATTGGCGTGTTTTCATCGTCAGAACTTTCTGTTATTTTATCTTGTGCTTTTTCTGTGCCCAGGTCATTATCCTGGTCTTCTTCCTCTTCGTTGTCCGTGTCTGTGATTTTGACGCGCTTCTTGATCACCTTTGGAGCTTCGTCTACACGGAGAATTCAAAATAAATACTGCCCTCAAAGACTTTTGGGGAGTACTAACCTTCGGAATCACTTATGGCCAATCTTTTACGTCTGGCACCATCCTGTGATTCAGCACTGCCCGACCGAGATCGAGTTCCCTTTCGAGACCCTGCGCTGCCGGAGCGACTGCGGGAGCGAGACCGAGACCGAGACCGTCTGGATTCGTTCCTAGATCCACTCCTGGAGCGCCTAGAACCGCTCCTAGATCGCCTGGATCCGCTCCTAGAGCGCCTGGATCCGCTTCTGGAGCGTCTAGATCCGCTGCGGGATCGTCGGGACCCACTTCGGGACCGTCTTGATCCGCTTCTAGATCGCCTGGAGCCAGATCCACTGCGCGATCGCCTCGAGCCACTACGCGAACGTCGAGAGCCGCTATGCGAGCGTGCCGATCCACTTCGAGAACGTCTCGAACCACTACGAGAGCGTCGCGAGCCACTCCGGGAGCGCCTGGAGCCGCTTCGAGAACGCCTTGATCCAGAACCACTTCGAGATCTTCTAGATCCCGAGCCACTGCGCGAACGCCTGAAGCCGCTTCCGGACCTACTGGAGCGTCTGGAGCCGGATCTACTGCGGGACCGCTGGGATCCGCTGCGGGATCGTCTTGATCCACTACGGGAACGCCTAGATCCACTGCGGGAACGTCTGGATCCACTGCGGGAACGTGCGGAGCCACTACGGGAACGTGCAGAGCCACTACGGGAACGTGCGGAGCCACTACGGGAACGCCTAGAGCCACTGCGGGAACGCCTTGAGCCAGTGGGCGAGCCCTGAGGTGCACTAGAATGCCGGGATCCGCTGCGTGAGCGGGCAGAGCCGCTGCGGGAGCGCCGGGAACCATTCAAAGATTGCTTGGAGCGACTGCGCGATCGCCTGGAACTGGCTGCTGAGTGAGCCGATCCGCTGCGAGACCTGCGCGATCCACTTCGCGAGCGGGAACTCCTCCTGGAGCCACTGCGACTTCTTGGTTGGGCCGCGACAGCATCAACCTGCTTTAGTGTGGGCGTAGGAGACTTGTTGTTGCCCTTGGCTGCCAATACTGAATCAGTTGCGTCAGGATCAAAATCTTGACTTTCTTTTACGCCCTCCACTGCCTCCGTGAGCAAATCCAATGTCTTCTCCGGCGCTCCAAGCAAGCTCTCGGCTTCGTCGCTACATGTTTTTTCTGCAAAATAAATTGTTAAAACGGTATACCGACGATTCCGATTGATAATCAATTTTGTAATCAACCTTTTTCAGACGTTTCCATGCCGTGGTTCTTACAACAAAAAACTAAACGCGATAAAAACTAAATTTTGTGAAACCAATTGTGCAATGGCTGGCGGAATTAGAGCAAATACATCAAAGTATTTGTACAAAATAATTCCTAAAATGACTTATAAAATACGACGCGATTCCTCGGCATTTGACAGGCCGAAGGAACGAATTGAATACGGAACACTAAAGTCTATGTGTACACATACAAACTTGCCCGCACGCTGTTTGGGGCCGTTACACACGTCGTCATCGAAAATCGATAACACATATTTTTAAATATGAGGTAATGTACTCGCTAAAAAATCTAAAGTTGCATTTTGTAGCATTACAGCTGTGTTTATCAGTTTTGCCATTTTTCTTAACACTTAATTTAAGTGATATCGAAATAGGCAACTCGCCTTATATGAACAGTTGTTTTTCATATTGTTATCTGTAATATAGCAGTTTTATAATTGCCCTTTCTCTTCGCATTTTATAAGCACATCAAATCAGGGGTGCTTGAAGATCATAAATTAAAAAAACAACACTCATATATATTGTTTGATGCTAGAAAAGAGAATCCAGGCACACAAGGATGCAATTGTCGTTGGTATTCTCGATAAGATCAATTGACGATATTGAGCGGAAAAAAAGGTGTAAAATTCTATACATTTTTTGTTTATTTTTTCAAACGTAATAAACATACTGTTACATATCATTTGAGTAGACTATCGAACCAGCGTTCGGCACTTTGCTCTTGGGCTGTGCAAGCCCCTCACGCAATAAGTGCAATATACCGGTTTACGGAAGTGCCGACAGCTCTTTTCAATTCAAAATTTAGGAACATTTTTAAATATAATGGTTAAAACTGTCACTTAAGTTGACCTTGTCAACGGTGTAAATGACCAGGAATGGTGTAAAATAGCTGTTTAGGGTCACCCCATTTTTTAATTTACCAAGGTAAATACTTTTTGTGCGTTATATTTGACATCTAAAGCAAACTCGGGACAGTGTGAAGGGACTTTTAGCATATTATCCCCCTTTCACACTGGACTGCGTCTATGCATATTGGGTAAAACTCCAATTTTTCTAGCTGTTATCGAAACCTTTAATTTTACTTTTACATTTTATATGCTGTTCAGCAGAAACAAGGGATTCGTTAAGTCATTCGTTAAGTCATTCCTTACTCGCTGCTATTCTCCTTTGGAAGGCTTGGCTTTGGTGTTTATCCATTTGCCTTTAAGTTTCAATCTTGTTTCACCCTTGAATGTTTTAAAAGGTTCATATATCGGTAGGGAAAAAGAATTTCTCAAAGTGTCACTGGGTGTGTAAATTTAGGCCTACATGACATTTTTAATGGTATATATTAAAAATGAAAATGGTAAAAGCATTGGTATTTGAGAAAGGAAAGGAAAGGAAAGAAAAGAAGCATATTTCGGCAAGACGAAGTTATACTAGGACTATGCAAGTATTGCAGAAATTAAATATTTTCTAAACAGCTATATTTATTCTTTTATGCATAAATGTTTGAAAACAGTGAAGATATGAAGATTTCCCGATGTATTATTCGATCGGAGATTAAAATTAAAGACGTAGTTCTGAAATATTTAATCATAACAGTAACTCAAAAAAATAAAAAGAAACCACAATATTTTTTTGAACGTTCCTATAAGCTATATGACATATATAGCCGTCAAACCCGGATTCCCTGTAAAAGAACCACAATTTTTGGGAATGTTGTATGCAGATTACCTTAAAACTGAAGTACAAGCTTGCCTAAAAACGGACAGACGGACATTGCTAGATGGACTCACCTGGTGATGCTGATCAGGAATGTATATACATAAAAATTGAATACCCTCTGCAAGGGTATAAAAACTGTGGCAATGGAATCGGGCTATTACACTTATCGAAAAAATATCGACATCGAAGAAAATAGCCACCCACTTAAAACTTGCCATCACTATATTACTAATGCGAAAATCAAAACAAAAACATCATTTTAAATGGTAAACATGAAGGACGAGCAAAGCTCTATGTGTACGTATGAAAATTCAAATGGCACCAATTTGCGTTAACGTTTCCCCCACATTATTTTGTTTAAGCTATCTTTGCCGAAGATATCCTGAAGGACTACGGCGCTTTTGTGTCAGAGCACGATGGGAAATTAAAAATGTTAAGGAATGAGCTCCCAAATTCCGATGTTTTCGAGCCTGCATCATCTATATATATGGCACCCGTAATAGAGGTGAAATTCGTTAACAACGACTCCATCGTTTCGGATAAGAACTTTGAGGAATCGGAGCTTATGGCAAACAAACCCCTAACGACTTTGGCGAATCTGTGCAACCAGTGCCGAAACTTGTCCCGGAAAGCAAGAAGGTTTCAGCTCGCCTTTCTGTTCAGCGATTTTCGGCTGGACGACTCGTCACATTTCCAATCTTCCGAGAGCGCCGTCTTGGAAGGAGCCTTGGTTGGCATGAGTAGCTCCATTGATTTCCTGTGTCAGGTCTACTTTTTGCTTAAACGCATGATTCTGATACTTCAAAATCTGTGGAGGCAAATAGCCGCAGCCGTGCGTGTGCCAGTGGACATCACTGAAGTCCACATATTCGTGAGTAAAACGGTTTGAAATAAAGTAAAGAAAGCAATTGGAATCTGCTCCACTTTAATCAACAGGCTGTCTTCGATGCTATGGCTGAATTACTGGAGCACGTTGTCGTTTTCAACGAACTGGCGAACCAATCAAAGATCTCCGCCATGTGGTCACTTTACAAGAAAAGGCTAGTTACGTTGTCCAACAACAGTAGACTATCCTCTCACCAGTACACGAGCATGGAGCTCAACGGCCTTAGTGGGTCCCTAGTTGACATCGAGAGTCTGATCACTAAGGATTTCTTTCGGGTATAGATTACTCCAAATGAGGGAAAATTACACAATTAATTTGTTAAACAGATTCTTCTAGATAGCCTTATGGAGTTGAAAAAGGACTTCAGCCTGAACGTTGTGAACAGCATCACCCAGCATTCCAATGCCTACATTCGCAAACAGTTTCTTGACATCGATGTAAGTCAGAACAACGAATATAGAAACTACGAGGACCCCAAGCACATCATTCGCCTGACTTCCTTCGTTGTGGTGGTACATGAGTTTGGCATCCAAATGGAGGCAAAATTAGTCCGGAGCGTTGTCGACTTGGTGGGCAGGCATCAGCAGGTGCCCCTCAACCAAAGTGTTTTCTGGTCGCCCTCCGCATTCCTTTCGCAACACGTCAAAACACTGATGAAGTCACCAACTCGAACCCAAGATCCCCACGGTCCAAAAATTCATAGCACAGTCCTGGATAAATTCAAGCTCAGCGACCAGAAGAGCTGCCGCCTGTTGGGCACCCAGATCTCGCTGTGGTCGATTCAAATGCAGAGAGTGTTCGATGCCGGAGTCTTTGGTCACCTAAAGACCTTCTCGCAGCTGATTCTCGCAGGCCACTCCTATGCAGAGCAGGTCACCGTCCTGGCAGTCGCCCTGATCAACCGCCACGCGGCCCTCATGACGCCCTTGTCCAAGTTTGACTGGTTCGTGGTAACTCGATTGCTTCAGTACCTAAAGGTTCTTCAGAATACCTTCGAGACAAACCAAATAAGCTTCGTGCGATTTATCAGCTCGCTGATTCAATGGCAGAAACAAAAGGTCCTGCACTTGCTACACACCACAAAAAAGAAGATCGCTGATCTCAAGCTGCTGCAGCGCAAGATGAACTTTTTGTCAACGATGAAGCTGGTTGAGAAGTCCATTATGGGTTTCCCAAGCAAAAACCGACTGACTTTTATAAATCTGGCACTTGGCGAGTTCCTCGATAATCGCATCCTGCCTGCCGATAACCAGAAGCTGATCAGGTCGATTATACTTCGAGCTAATAACATCAGCAACCTTATGCGCGATATCAGGGGGCAATTGGACTCGTCGCACTCGCCGAGCCTGATATATAGTTACTGTTTTATGAACAATGCGGTGCTGAAGGATTACACTGAGATGCAGCGTAATCCGTACTCCCTACAGGTAATAATACACTCTACACAAGACAATGCTACATCTATTTTGACCTTTCATCTGCAGAACTTTGTGTCGGTGAGCCATCACCTGGACAAGAGCATGGCTCTATTCAGGGGTTCGAGGTTTCCCAAACAATCGGCCAGCGACTCTATTATCGCGTTTTTAAGTAACCACTTTGAGTTCTTTCTGCGGGTGGAGGCCCTTTCGCACCTGTTCCAGAATCAAGAGCAACCATTCCAGCAAAGTGCGTTAGACTATCGCCTTTGCATCAATGCAGGGTCTACTGAAAACGTGGGAGAGTTCAATATTATTAGAGGTAAGTGCTTACCTAGATTTTGCCTTAGCCCAAAATTGTATTTGTTCCTATTAATATATAAACTAAATAAATTTATAGTTTTAAATTTATGTAGTTCGTATATTTTTTACAACATTGATCAAGGAATGTAAGGTTTGTCGGTCCCAAATTAGCAATTATTTAAGATATTATTTTGACAATTCTATTAGTTGTAATAGAATTTCCATGTAAAAATGCAACAGAAAATCACTGGTGTGCGAACAAAACTTACCGCAAAATCAAACTAAATGAAAAAATCTAACTATTTTGATAAAGAGAAAAATTATTCAGGAAGCACTGTCGATTGCATTGCAAATTTTGGAAGTGAAAAAAATGAATTTCGCTTATAAAAGCACCAATAAAAATGTTAGTGCACAGCTATACTTCTTTCGTGGGTTTTCGGGTAATGATACCGACTTTTAACGGTTCTTTTAGATCACCTAGAAAACTATTTTACTGCAACGTTCTACAACCTAACGACAATCGCCCCGCACGACTGGAAGTCATATGAAAAGATGCGTCATTTGGCGAACAAGGTCCTGCAGCTCCGTCCCATGGATGACCACCTGCCCAAGCAGATCATTGACCAAGTAATCAGCCAAGCTCTCCAGTCTGCCCCATTACCTCATTAATCCGCTTCGTTATTGAACCGGCAGGGTATAGACGTGCTCCAGATCATGCGCAATATCCACACGTTTGCCTCCTCCTATGCCTACAATATGAACCTGCAGTTGTTTGTGGAGACGCACAGCAAGAGCAAGCACCTGGACATCATCGGCACACGGCATGTGGCCAACTCGGTGCAGACGCACGGCACCGGGATCATCAACACCACGGTTAACTTCATTTACCAGTTCCTGCGCCAGAAGTTCTACACCTTCTCCACTTTTCTGCACGACGAGCAGATCAAATCGCGGCTGCTCAAAGAGCTACGTTTTCACTCGGAGCACAAGCACAGCCAGTCCTACCAATCGTATCCATACGAGCGCGCTGACAGCTTTCTCAAGAAGATCAGAAAACTGGGTTGTTCTAGCAACGGCGAGACCTATATGGACCTATTTAGAAAGGTTATCACCCAAGTCGGTAGGTAAAATATATACTTCTATACGCCCAATCCGATACTCTATTCCAAATTTATTTCGTGGTCAGCTGGTTCATACATATTTCTGAAAAATTCTAGTTTTCTATGATTATATAAAGTACACTAGTCTTACTACTATTTGTAAAAGGCCGGAAGCATAGTGAAGAGTTTGTAACTCGAGGCTTTAAAGGTTCCTAAACCTCCGACATTGAAGCTGTTGAGCAAAAAAAAAAAAAACATTTTCAAATTCAACCTCCCCGAATCCGCAAGAAAAAAAAACCTAGAGAATAGATGCGATAGGAACACTTTTTGTTGAAAGAGTAAAACGTGTTATATTAAGCAAACGATTTTACAAGGGAGAAGGAAATCTTTCCGACGCCATTATATATGCATATTATCTTTCCGCATGCAAAAAATCGAACCCCTCACCGAGATAAACTTTCAAGCTACACATGTCTCTACATATCTCTTTATATGTCTTCTACATGTGATCCATTAAATACCTCTATCTGTTAAGATTGGTCTTCCTGAACCTCCAGGACTTTAGTTAATTAAAAATTTGAATGATTTTGGTAATTATTCGGTTTAACTTTAGGCAATGCTGTGGGCTATGTGCGCCTCCTGCAGGCAGGAAGCAAGAACGCGAACTTTAGGAGCCGTTCATATAAGACCAGGCTTGACAGTAACTTTAAATCCGGAGGCACTAAAGTGCACGAGGCCACAGAGGGCTCCATCAAGGAGTACGAAAAGAGCCTAGGCCACATGAAAGAATGCTATTCGGACAGCACAAATTACTTTAAGGTGAGTTAAATGCGAGTGAGTCAAGAATGCAACTTCTTATCAATTTGTATTTTAGCTGCTCCTACAAGGTTTTCAGCCTTTCCTATGCAATCCACATAACCATCACCTTAAAACCTTCTACCTGATCACGCCTGCGCTCATAATGAACTACATCGACTACAGGGTTAAGCAGAAGCTCAAGATCCACAAGAAGGACCAGACCAAGATCTCGCTGTTCGAGGATGGCTTTGCCATCGGCCTGGTCTACATTCTCAACCTGCTGAACCAGCAGTTGGAGTTCCATGAGCTGGGCTGGAGCCAAACCACCACCCAGCACCTGAACGAGGAGCGCTACAAGGTGCGCGACGTCCTGAAGCGCCAACAGACTGCATCCGAGCAGCTGGACGAGAAGCTCTTGCAGACGGTGGCCATAACAGAACGACATATGAATGCATATGAACATGAATACAATCTACTGTACGCCACCCTGAGCAGCTCCGAAATATTCTTCCAATAAAACTGTTGACAACACACTGATCAGTAGTTGGGTGCCGTTTATTGACCTTTATTAAGACGAAAATACAATTCCGATTCCGGTACATATCGTAGAACGTTGGTATATATAGCGTTAGTTTTGCATGCCGATATTAACATCAAACATTTTGCTAAGCCCCTCGTTTATGCGCACGTGTCTCGCTTTTTTTTTCAATGGAAATGTGAAAGTTATATGTTTAAGCCATAGACATAGCCTGCTTTGCGATCTTTACTATCCGATCGAAAGTAACATAGACAATTTAGACAGTGTTTTCATGCATGTAATCTCGAAACTTACTAACTGACATAACGAGGCTCTATTTATATTGAATTTTGGCCCCCATATACAATTTAATGGCCAGAAACCCAATGGGAATAGTTAAACATGTCTATTGAAAATATGTTGTATTGTATTTCGTAATATTACAGTAGTTGGTAAAAAAAAATGTAGGGAGAAAATGCAAATGGTTTTCGTCTTAACAGATTTTTCTTCTTGTAATCTTGCTTTGTCTGCATTCTTAAAGAGAACCAGAATTAGCAACCATGATCTTCTTAGAGGTCTTGCCGGACTGCGAGCCGTAAGATTCGATCTTTTTGACCACATCCAGGCCCTCAACGACCTCGCCGAAGACGACGTGCTTGTTGTCCAACCAAGCTGTCTTCACGGTGCAAATAAAGAACTGGGATCCGTTCGTGTTGGCGCCAGCGTTGGCCATCGACAGGATTCCAGAGCCAGTGTGCTTCAGCTGGAAGTTCTCGTCGGGGAACTTGTTGCCGTAGATGGACTTGCCACCAGTGCCGTTGTGGTTGGTGAAGTCGCCGCCCTGGCACATAAAGTTGGGGATGACGCGGTGGAAAATAGAGCCCTTGTAGCCGAATCCCTTTTCGCCGGTGCACAAGGCGCGGAAGTTCTCGGCGGTCTTAGGCACGACGTCGGAGCGCAGCTAAAAGAGGCAATCAAATATACAGAAATTTTAATTAGTACAAAATAAAAAATAATAAAATCGTTGGTCGGTGCTTTGACTTGTACAAATTATGCTGCCAAACTAAAGGCCATTTTAAATAAAAAACATCCGCATTTTTGACCCCGCTATGAATTTACAAATAAGATAACAGCCCTTAGATATTTGGTTCAAATATTTTGTAACTTTGCTTTAAAATCGCAAAAGAAGGTGCGAGTTATATACTTTGAGTTCAATAGTTTGGTATGCGGTCATAATATTAATGCAATTTTGGGCCGTCCCAATACATTTCCAGTGCTTTCAAATTTCGCGCCTTTCAAATCAATTAGCCTCCCCGAAAGTCACAACATGTTAATAATTTATCTTATAAATTGTCAATTAAAACACATAGTAGAATTTTTTTTATTTTGAATGTTAAATACCAAGAAAAAATCGTTAAATTTCCGATTTGAAATTTTGGAGGCATGCTAGGGCTTATTTAACTTAATAAAAAACTAACAAAATGAAATTATAAGTACGTTTAGGCATTTTTATTAATGTTTGCCCACTGTATTTAAGTGTATCATTTTTAGATGTCCCCAGACATGTGGGTTGACTGTCTATCCGGCCAATGACTTGACCCGGCTGCTAAAAATACAGCCCGATGCAATATAAACTCTAACTTAATAGACAAATGAAAATTACATCATCAACGGAATTAAAACTGAGTTCATTTTTTAAACGGGTTTACAGAACTCGCGCATTCACACCCGAATATCTCTGTGTACACTGTACATACGTGAGTGACCGCTTGGAGGTTATGGTATCTGTATTGATCTGCGTGAGTATGGGACAGCAACTCGCACACAACAGAAAAATGTACATATGTACGACACCCATATACATATGAATACCGGTAAAAATTGCACCACACTCGCAAACGTTTGCCGACACGTCAATTAAATTAAAAAAAAAATTCCACTTCTACAAAGATTACGATTTTCAACGGCTGTAAAAGCGATTAAGGTACGAATTATACAGTAGAGTACATTGTCATGCAATTACTCAGGCATGAGTGTACAAATATGGAAAATAAGGAAGTTCTAGGCTAATATATACATATGCAAAAGCAATGCGTCTTGTTAAAATGTCTTTTTTTTTTGCATATTATATGTATGTAAGTCAAAAATATGTGTGTACACAGCACTTGCGGCATATACTAGCAGAACTAAAGGCTGCACAAAAAAATAAAAATTTAAAAATCACGTGTTTTTGGATATCTATAGTAATAATCTTCACAAATAAAAAAAACCGTCCTATCTTGCATTTAAAATTATTTAACTTACCTCCATTATTATCCTACCGAGGGGCTCGCCATCGGCGGTCATATCGAAAAATACCTTAGGCAAAGTACTCATCTTGGATGCTTTCGAATAATCGCGAACAATCTGAATTCCGAATTGCAACTGACCCCTATTCGCAGTGCACGCCGACGAAGCTAGGGTTATAGATTTTTTAGTTAAAATGGCGGACTCAGCAATGTGAAATGCCGCTGCCGACTTATACCGAAAGTGACGAATCAGAGTTGCACCGAAAGAGACCATCGTGTATGACCGCGTGTATGATACTACATACACGATGGGCGGGGTGTTCGATTCCACCCATCGCGAGCTGTTACATCACTTTAGGGCAGATACGAACGCACTTTTCGGTCCATTTCCTTCACAGCGAAAAAGTGGACACGTTCACCGTCATCACTGATCAGAAAATATTACTTACTATTTTCTGGTTTTTGTTGATAAAAGGAAAACGATTGTCAAAAATACAACATGGTCCTAAACGAATCTATTTTCCGTTATTATTACTAAATATGTTCGGGGAAAATGACTTTTAATCGCATATATTTATCGCAATTATTTTTAATTCGACATTTTGCCTTATGGGAGTCCCTGTGTAAATAAATGTCGCATTATGCTAAATGTGTTTTAATGCGTCAATGAATTCAATTCAATTCAATTTAGGGTGCCTAAAAATTTGCCGTCCCGAATTTTCCCTTTGCTGTTCCTATCTTGTTCTGTCTCACCCAGTATATTTAGTATATTTTGATCCCATCACTAAATAACTGTTTGAGATGGTAAAAAACTGAAACTCCAATTCACAATGCCACAGTCTACCGGGGCTTAAACGCCAGCATAATTTGCAATCCTGCAAATAATACTTGAAGAAGATCACTCAGTCTATTTTTTTTTGGGAAGAACAAAAGTTACGTTGAGATATGGGAGGTAAAAGATATCCAAATTTTTTCGCAGCATAGTTAAAATATGATACATAAAAGTTCGTCTTGTTTTGAGCTCATGCAATTAAATAATAGAATTTTGGTATACTCTATGCGGCTGAATCTCTGAATTGCTGAAAATTTATCAAAACAGCTGTTTCATTAAACAGCCGTATAGCTGCTATTTGTCAATGACTTGTTTAAACTTATTTATTTTCATATATTTGGTGATTACGTGTTGGGACCAGTTGTGTCTTCGTAATTATAGAAGGAAGGAGCGAAGTTTTTTCGCTGGCGAAACCATTCGTCGATCTGTGTACTACGCTTGAGCTTCGAATGCTTTATTAATTTTCGTCACGAAAATTGATATCAGAAAAGTGGCACCAAGATAGATCGGGAATATTTTGTCGTCAACATTTTATTATTGTGGTAGATTTTTGTGAGTTTTTTTTTCGGTTTTTCCATCCATTTCATCTCAGAAATCTGTAAACGCTTTGCAATTTTCTTGTATTTTTTCGTTGATTTCTGAACCAGTGCGACGAAAAGTGTCCGCCGGTTAATTGCCTCTCACTCTCTCTCATAGGTGACGAACGTATTTCGTCGATCTGAGTTCTTCGGTCATACTGTCAATCAGCTGGGCTTGCTGGCAAACAATTTAATTTAACAAAGCAAAATCGAAGATGTTGAATGTAAACGACGCCAGAGTTAAAATTGGTATTCGAATGGTGGCAGATACGCTGCTTTTTCGTATTTCACTCCATTTCGCTTGCAAGTTTAAATGCAACAACACCAAAGATTACATTTTTTATTCTCTTCGCCAGGGCCTGACAAACGTTCATGGGCTTATGACACTACATTGTTGTCCTCATTCATTGATCATTTATTTTTTTAACTATACGATATTACGTAAGCGCGAGCAGGACAAACGTATGACGATACCAAAAAAGTAAAATTTTGCTAATTTGTTGGAGTTGAGGACAAAACGAAATGATAAAGCGAGGCTTAAATGTATACAAAAACACAATAAAATAAACAAAACCATAAAGTTTGAATTAAACGTTAAAAAGGCAGTGTGATTTTATAACCAAAAAATTCTCAAGCCGTATCCATATAGTTGTCTTTGAGCTTCAATGAATTTGTCAATGAATGAGGCGAACGTCTGGCAACGCTCTGCACTTTTCTAGTATTTTTTCCGTCGATCTGATTACCAACGTGCAAAAGGGCACTATCGAAAAGTGTTCGCCGGTTATTTGCCTCTCGTTCTCTCTCATTGGCGGGGAACGGTTTTCGTCGATTGGAGTACTAGGCTTGAAGCAAGAAGGAAAGCAACCTTTGACAATCCGAAGTTAATATACCCTTTAACAAGAGTGAAGCTATGATGATTTTAACGCTCAATTAAAACTGTTATTCTAAAACAATAAATCATTACTTGCATCAAAGTACAATACATTAAATTGAAAAACAGCGAAGTTTTAATATTTTTCATATATTTTTTTGATTATTTCTTTGGGAACTATATGAAATAGTCGTCCGATTTTAAGGTATTCCAAAAATTAAACCATTACTATTTCTCGAAAAGTATATAAAAAGCAGATAAGTTATAATTTTGTTTTTTATTTATTTTTTTTTTTGATTGTTCCAATCGGAGCTATTTGATGTAGTCGTCCGATCCGGCTCCTTCCGACTTATATACTATCTGCAATAAAAAGACAATATATAAAATATATATAGGGTGGGAAATGTCTCCTTCACTGCGTGACAAGCTTCTGGTAACACCCTTTGCAAGGGTATAGAAATATAAAAGTATAGTGTTTAAATAAATAAAAATGAAAAAAGTATTTTTTTTAATTTATTAGTAACAAAATATTTATTTTCAATTTGATCACTTTATTTTTACAACAATGATACGTATATTCATTTGTAAAACTATTAATGCATAATGTAAAGTATTACTTTTATCCAGAACCGTTACCCTGCCCACTATAAAATAGTGATATTTCCATCAGCTACCCTTAATAAGAATAATAATCTACGGAACAAATTTATTTTAAATCTATTGAGATAAACGCATAACAAAAACCAAAGGAAGGGAAGCTTAAAAAACCAAATACCTTCGGAGAATTTTAATAGTATTTTATACTAATCTTGACAGTTGAGTACAAATACAAATGAAAATCGTAGTGTTTTCATGAGGGCATTTCTGGAAAGATGTTGAACTATGGACACCGGTTCCACAGACCCATAATTAGCAACCGCGTTACTTTATCATAGTGATTTACGTGCTTTTTGATTATTCGCTTTGTGTTAGTAAGCTTAAGCATTAAACAAAGTTTAGATATTGGCCTTGCCTATCGGAAGAACTATGCAGCTTAAAACTAGGGAGATTTTTGAAAAGCCAATCGCAAAATAAACCAATAGAAACCGAGATAATAAAAAACATTGAGTGGTATTTTTTGGGTCCCTCGGCTTCCGCTGGCTGCAGCGACCATTGGAGATTTTTGGTTGTCACGGCAAAGTGTTTGGTTTCTGATAAAGTTGAACATTGACTCCACGAGATTGGCCGGAGTTATGTCCTCGCACTTCTCCAGCTTGTTGACCACGCAGGATTGCAGGGTCATCATTTCGTCGCACTGCTTTTGTCCCACGGTCAGCTTGGGGATCGACTTGATACGATTGTCCTGCAGGTCCGAGAAGTTTAGATACTCCGCAAACGTGCTGTTCACGCACTGCTGGATGTTGTCCTTCTGCGACTCGATGCACTCAGGACCCTGTTCGGCGATGAAGAGGGCTATCTGGTCGCCGTCCTTGTGACAAACGAAGTTGAGCAGGCTTTGAATGATCCGCTTGAACACATCCTGGCCCTCCCGTTCCTCTTCGACCAGGCAGGGCGTGACCTTGGCCGTGAACTCATCGATGCACTCAACGGCATTGGATCGCCGGATGCAGTATTTATTGAACACCACATCGAGCTCGCCCTTGGGGCTGGCCTCCTGGATTTCCTGCTGTATCGCCGTGTAGTTGACAATGCCATTTAGACACTCACCCAGGACCACAAATCCGGATTCGATCTCACCGTACGCCTGGCCACCCGCCTCCTCGCCGGCCACCTCGATGCATTTGTTGCGGATCAGTTCCTTGGCATCGTTAATGCTAAAATTCGTCTTGCTAAGCTGTTCTGGCAGTTGTGTCTGGATCTGCTCGATGTCCAGCTGGCCGCGTATGCCAATATTATTGAGGAGAACTAGCGATAATACGCAGATTGCATTGGCCAAAAATGTCCTGTTCATTTTGAGTTTTTACTGTTCCTTTTCCACCTTTTTCACCTTTGTCTCCGTTAATAAGGTCATCTGAGTCTTGCACTATAACGCTTTCTCTCGATTAAGCAACCATAACATAATCATTTGCTTTGGGAAATCGAAATCACAGAATATGCATACAAGCAATTGGGAAAAATTAATTTAATTATGATTGCATATTACAATCCATCCCTCCGTCGGCTAGAGGTGTATAAACAGCGATAACACTATCGATAGCACACCCACATACTGTTTTGGGGCGATTATCGATGTCAACTTCTCATTTCTTTGTTGCGTTGCGGAAGATATAGGGGTTTGCCATTAATATAAAATTTTAATGACCACATCATGGTGTACTCATACTAAAAATATTGTAACTACATATGTAAGTGTAAACATTTCCGCAATATTCACTAGACGATTAAATGCCTGATTCCCTATATTTCGCCCTGACTTTTGCGTGCTTTATATCTTTTCCAACTTTTATATTAACTATGAAATCAAATAAATGAGTGAAATTTCACTTGCTTGAAAAATGTTTAGAAATAATACAGTAACGCAGACCAGCTGTTTGAATTTTCGACAATTCAGCAATTATGGAACACCCTAAATATTTGTAGATTAATATATATCATCAGCAAGGATTAGGCTATCGATTGGGATTGGGATTTGTTTCCGATAGCATTGAATTGAGATCCATTGGTGGTTCAATCGAACAAGTTCACGCGGATTTCGCTTCTTTAATTTTCCTCTCTAATGTAATGTTGTGAACTTGGTTCAAGTTGACCAAGTCGAAATTATGTAGCAAAGAGCGATTTTATAGTCTGGGGAAGTGAAGATGATGCTATGGCCGAACAAAGGACGGAAATGGACGCGCTCACCATGGAGCCGATCTCCAAATTAAGCATGATGCTAACAGGGGTTTCCATTCCATGGAGATTTGTTTCCATTTTTATCAACTGGAGCCTGGCCTTGGAGTATTGGATGGAAGAATCCTACGGATACTGTGCATGGACAGTGGGCTCGATCATTGTGCCCATGGTAGTCACATCGGTTATATACATTCACATGTAAGAGATCGGCAGGAGCTTGCCAAAATCAGCCCAGGCGGTGATACATAGCTTTAATTTCAGTTTAAGGGCCGCCCATTTGGGCCAAGAACGCATCGTGGACAGAGGCGTGTACTCAAACGCCGTGATCTCGTATCTTTTCCGCGATGGCTACGCCCTCAATTATGCACTGAAATATAGCGAGGCTAAAAAGCGGGATGACCAAGAGGAGGAGATAAGGTGAGTGAAGGCTATGAGACATGAGCTCGTCAGCCTTGTACATCCATATGTACATCGCCTTCAGTTGTTACGCTCTTTATGATTGCGTTTCGCTAGAAGTTTGTAAAGGTGATCCATAACCGTTTAGAATGGATAAAAAAAAATTAATTTGTTTGATATAATTTCATTTTTAGATACTATCAAAAACTTTTGACGGAAGAGTGCAATGTTGGCTTCGTGCGGCTTTTTGATTCATTCCTGGAATCCGCACCGCAGAAAGTATTACAACTCGTCATAGTGCTGCGATCGATAAAGGACTTTACTTGTAACATGCACATAATACTTAATGAGTTACTTTGTTGTTCATGAGTGTATTTTCTAAATTTTCTCACAACTCATGTTTTCAATGTCGGGGCCCCCTATAATTTCAAAACCGATCGTTTGAACACTATTACTGTACACAATTTACAAGGTAAAATCGTTGAGTTTTGTTTTATTTTTCACAGTTCATTTTACAATATCTAGTTTTCAAAGTTTTACCAATAGGCGAAAGGGGGTAAAAAAAAACGAATTAGCCCCAATTTCTTCTAATATTTATCTTTGATTTCCCCGATTACCACCTCCGAAGTAAAACTAACAGTTTTATCTAGAACACTTTTAGGATTCGTCGTAACTTTAACTAAACATTTTAACTTGTACAAGAAAACTTTTGGTTGTACCTATCGTAAGCTGTATTACAAATTTAGGGAAAACGTTGCTATACCAAATGCAGTGTTCAGGATAAATTTAACGAACGTATATAATTTATCTAAAAATCCTTTTCAATTGATTAAATATTGGTTTCCATTTATTTTAGCACTGTAATGTCATTCGACGAAAGTGAAACAACATTTTTAAACTATATTTTCAGACTATCGCGTTATTGCCTTCGTCGTCTACTTTGGAAACATAGCGTGGTGTATCCAGGCGCACAATCACTCCAACCGCTTGGTACAGCTGGACAAACATGATATTCCGGCAAAGGGTAGATTTTTGCAATTTATGTTCCTGCTTTGTCTTACCGGTTAGTAGTTAGTAGAGGTTCCCAGCACGTCAAGTCTCTAGTATTTATATTTTATTTTGTAGTTTCGAGAACGCTTTGCATCGCATACATGGCCAGTCTTTTTCCCGTGGAAACACTGATCATCTGTGCAACGCACGCTTGCTTGTGTGGTTCTGTTTTGTTTCTGGTAGACTCTCCAATGATCGCCGAATCTCGGCTTATGAACTACCTGTACTGCCTTTGCTTTGGCGTAGTGTACCTATTTATTTTTACCCCCGTTAAGGATTCACCAACCAAGTATAAATATGCATTTTACCTTACGTTTTGTTTATTGCAAAACACATTCGCCTGCGCCCTGTATATTCCCTTATATCTTTCGATTGCCATAATTGTCTTGTATGTTGTCGGCATCATGCTCATACTTTTTTACTACTCTAACTGCCATCCTAATACTATACCAACATATTTTTAATATAGTAAAACTCTATAAAGCTTAGTACTTGGATCGACGAAATGCGTCCGTCAGTCATGAGAGAGAGCGAGAGGCAAATAACCGGAAAAAATAACAGCAAAATCGAATACATTAATAGCGACAAAATATTCCCCATCCATGCGATCCAAAATATAGCTGAAAACTATTATAAAGAATGTAATTCATAATTTTATATTGTTAAACCTTACAAATACATTTACAGTATTGATTTAATGTATTTTCAAGCTGGCGGGTTACGTTTAAAGTGTTTTCCGTTTGTCAACAAGCCCAGCTAACTGAGAGTAACTCCGTAACACACACACGAAACTGTTCGTCGATCTGATTACTAGGGTTAAAGCCAATTTACATTACAGTATTTTTTGGAGGAGCGATGAGAAGACGGTGAAAAAGTAAGACTTTTGACCAAAATAATAGCCACATGCAATAAATTTGCCATTTCTTTTACTAAGTTTTGGTTGAAACAAAACATTTTAAATTTTAAGCTTTGTTTTTTTATAGCGGAGCAGTTGCTTATAGTGGATAATTTTACATGCATTTAATAATCTTCCGTTTCGTATTACTTCTGCAGCAAATCGGCAGAACCCTGCTAAATTTCTTTGTTTTATTTAGATTTTTGCACGCGTCTTATGTCGTAAATCCAACCGAAATTAATTCAAAAAATTATGAATATATAAATCAGAATATATATATATAAACGGAATAAGTAGATGCAGAAATTTACTGAAGTACACCTCTATTAAACAATTACATTTCCAACTATATTTACAACCACCTACTAAAAAACATTTATTGTAAAAATAAAAAAATTCCGTTAAGTCCTACATGATGGATTAATGTTCCCTAACGCACGTCTCTATGCGATATTTAGCCGATGTGACTTCGGTTCGACTCTAAACTCTTTTCGTGTAACAATGGGCGTATTCAGCAGATCAACATGATTACTTATGGCTTTCTTACGATAGTTCTACTGAACGCGTATGATCACAAGTTAATGATGCAAAAATTCTTCCATCATGATCAGCAAAAAGGGAGTGTACAAATATTACGCTACCTTTTCTTGATACATGATACATATCTGCTTGCCAACATCGGTGGAACAACAGAAAAATCAGAATGTTAATAAAATAATAATAAAAAGGAAACAAAACAAGCAAAAATTAATTAATTAATGCGTAATGTATCATAAGCGTTCAGCAGAAAATACATGAGCACTGATTACTGATCCATCAGTGATCATGTAAATCTGCCGAATACGCCCAATTTGAATTTTTATGTCGGCCATCTTAATTTCTGTGAACCAGAAGCGTAGTCGGAAGAAAAGTTGCACACTTCGGCGGCAAATTGTATACAGAATAGATGAAAGCCATTTCTTAAAAGTTCAGATATGTATTTCACCATTATTTCATAGCATTTAATAAAAAAAAAGCTGAGGAAAAGTACTTTATAAAAAGTTTAATAGTGCTTAAATTCTTTGATTAAGAATTTCTGCTTACACCACTGTGACTATTGACGACTGTTTTTGGATGGTGGATGGCGATTGGTGGCTCTGTGGGAATGCGAGTTTCACATCTATTAAAAACAGTAATTGTGAAAACATGGGTTTCACATATATTTAAATCCTTACCGCTCCGCTTGAATGTGTTGAATGCGAATTTGCGTGTTTTGTCTGTTTAATGACCGGATAACAATCGTTTTTGATATCGTTGTGAAGTTTTATGTTCTCAATCCATTGGCACATTAAAACGCATTTAGCCTAGTGTAATTTTTATAGACATACCGATACCTAACGATATTTTATCAGTGCTACCACTACCACACCTGATTTTTGAAGTTTTTGCAGTTTTTGATTGCATTCGACAAAAAAAATCTTTCGCATAAAAATGACCGAAAACAAGAGAAAATGCAGTATATTCTGTTATGCTGTTGACTTTGTTTTCGTTTTGACGAGCCACAGCTGTTCAGATCAGCTGAAATCGGATGGTGAATGTGCTCTGTGGAAATCGGAGTTAAACATTTGTTGAAATTTCCAACCGTTTCCAACGGATGGACTGCGTGAAAAGAGGGCATAAATATCGGCAAGAAACGTGCGACTTGGATCGTAAATTCCACCGTCAAGAAATTACCGGGAAATTTTTGTCCCGAAAAACCTTACGAACCATCTTTGAAAGAGAGTGTGAATGGTGCTCTGTGGGACTAGGCTATTAGTCCATAGTTCGTGTTCGCTCTCATCCCAAAGGTGTTCGATACCCGATATCGTTGAGTTCCAGTGCGCAGGCGCAACGACCGAAGATGAAGAAGGGCAATTCTGGAACCAGTGGGTCCAATTAAGCGGTTCCCGAACCGAACTGGTTCGGACTCGAAGCTAGACTTAGCCCAGCTAGTTGGCATTGTATATTTCATGCAGCTCGTTAACTTTCACTTTGGTTACAAGGGGCGGAGACAAAGGCAAAAGCAAAGGCAACGGATTATAACAGCAGTAGCAGGATCTAATCGGGATCGGAATCGGGATCGGGATCGGAATCCGGGAGTGATGTGAACAATAAAGACAATGACAATGCCTTCCAAATACGAGCGCATATTGAGTGACTGCAGGGCGAAGAACGTGCTGTGGGAAGATCCCGATTTCCCCGCCGTTCAATCGTCCGTCTTTTACTACCAGACGCCACCGTTTACCTTTCAATGGAAACGGATAATGGATCTAGCCGACAATGGGTCTGCATCGGGATCAACATCTGCATCGGGATCTGCATCTGCATCAGCATCTGGATCTGGACCAGTCTTCCTCAACGAGACGGCCGAGTTTGATGTGGTGCCCGGAAAGATGGGCGACCGCTGGCTGGTCTCCTGCCTCGGCCTGCTGAGCTCCTTGAGGAACCTCTTCTACCGGGTGGTACCAGCCGACCAGACACTGGCCAGTGCCCACGGCGTCTTCCGCTTCCGCCTGTGGTGGTGCGGCGAGTGGGTGGAGGTCCTGGTCGACGACCGCCTGCCCACCATTAATGGACGGCTGGCCTTCATGCAGCCGCAGTCGTCGAACTGCTTCTGGGCTGCCCTGCTGGAGAAGGCCATCGCCAAGCTGCACGGCTCCTACGAGGCCCTCAAGTACGGCACCCGCTCCGACGGCCTCACCGACCTCCTCGGCGGCGTCGTCCGCCAGATGCCGATCCTGGCCGACACTGTCCGGCCGCAGACGCTCAAGGAGCTGCTGACCACCACATGCATCGTGACCTGTCTGGCGGACACGGGTGCCTCCGTGGCCAAGAAGAACGTCGCCGAGCGAATGCCCAATGGGATACTGGTGAACGTAAACTATAGGTAAATAGGGCACCTGCTCTTGCTATACCCGTACTCCTTTAAAAGTATGTAACGCTTTCGACCCTACGAAGCATATATTCTTCATCAGGATCAAAAGCCGAGGCGATCTAGTCGTGTCCGTCTGTCTGTCCGTCCGTATGAACGTTGATACTATAACTACAAAAGCCAGAGATTCACAGCGCAGCTTTCGCCCACAGACAGCAAAAGTATGTCATGATATATAGGCTATGCCAGTTGTTAAGCTGTTAATTTTAACTCAATAGCAATATTTTTTGACTCACACAAAAGTGTTTCAAATCGTAACATTATTTCAGAAGTTGGTAGCATAAATTTAAATTTTTAAAACGTTGATATCCTGGAAACTGTAAAAACCAGAGATTTGGGATTAAACACGCGAACACTAGTTTTGCTTACGAAGCGCAAGATGAGAAATAGAAGAGGGAAGTTGTAAAGCTTATTCCACAACAATATCTTTTGAATAATGTTCCCAATAGAACCATTGTTTCAGAAGTTGTTAGTATAAATGTAAATTTTTGGATGCTTAAAAACTCGTGGTGAGCTTGCTCGGCAGATTGCGCCACCCAAAATTCGATGGTTTTTTGGGGCATATTTATTTTGAAATATTATAGATAAGCCAAGAATCGGGTATATAATGGTCGGGGTACTCGACTATAGAGTTCCTTCTTGTTACGATTTTTAGATTTGCAACTTACATGGGCCAAAAACTATTTTATTACTTTTCAATAACATTTTCAATCAAAAAGTTTATTGACTCAGAGTTAGAAGTTTATTTCGATTCCCGAAAGTAATAGCACCCATTCATAGAATTTCATAACAAGTCACGGGCTCATCTGAAGTTTCAATAATTTATATTTTCCTGTTATTTTTGGCCAATGGGCTACTGGTGAGCATTAATTATAGGTTAAAATAGGTGCCAAATTGATATTATTTATTTATCACAAAACTAATCAGTAAATCATAGGAAAATAAAACCAATTAGTATTTAAATATTTGGCGAAACTTTTAAGATAACAAACAAGAAAGAACGCTGTAGTCGAGTTCCCCGACCATTATATATCCGTTACTCAGCTAACAAATTTCAAACCAGAAATTCCCTAACAATACAATCGGGGCTTAGGTGGCGCCATCTGTCGAACTGCATGGCCAACACTAGAAGCTAAGAGCGTGCAACACCCCCACCCCCCGGTAACAGTTCTTTCACTTTGTATCTCTCCAATAGCAATCACCAGGCCCTATTTAATGAGCATAGAAAAGTGCTTTGCAGGCAGAGCAGCGGCAAAGCGCCGGCAGAAGACTTTCTAACTCAATAACGTCTAAAAGAATAGCCGAAACACACATATGCAGTCCAATAACTAATCTCTACCATGTCTCAGAGTGCCATGACAGACTTTCGCGATTTGTGTATTTGTGAAATAAACTGCGTAAGAATAACTAGAGTCTGTATGTCAAATCCCAAATCTCTAGCTTTTATAGTTTCCGAGATCTCGACTTTCATCCGGACGTAAAGACAGACTGCCATGGCTGATCCTGATCCTGATTAGGAACGAATAATTAATTTTTGTCAGATGTTTGTATGGATGAGAGAGCGAAGGATATAACAAACATATATATATTCTTGATCAGCTAGGGACTTGAAACTTTCGCTATAGTTTCTGGGTCAAATTTCAATGTTTTTTAAAGAAATGTTTTTGCATATAGCTTTTTTTGGGCTAATATGTTTTTCAACGATTTTGGGCCCAAAATAGGAACATTTTACGGTAGTAAAGTGAGCTCATAGCATCCTGTGAGTAGTATACAAATATTTAATGCATACTCTTTGCGCAATGCTCGCTTATTTGGCAGCCATGTCCGTCCGTCTGTCTGTCTGTCCGTTTGTCCGTTTCTACGCAAACTAGTCTCTCAGTGTTGTTGCTATCTGCATAAAACGTTCCCAAGTGTTGTTTTCCTATTTTAGGAAGTGTATTAGTCGGAACGAGTCGGATCGGAGAACTATAGGAACAATCGGGGGGAAAAAATAATGCTGTTTTTGATATTTTGTTTTTGTAAGTTTTTCGATTTTTATGCCCTTGCAGTCAGAAGTTTTCAACGCAGTGAAGGAGACATCTCCGACCCTATAAAGTATATATATTCTTAATCAGCATCACTAGTAGAGTCGATCTAGCCATGTCCGTCAGTCTGTCCGTCTGTCCGTCCGTTTCAACGCAAACTAGTCTCTCAGTTTTAAAGCTACCTGCATGAAACTTTCCCAAAAGTTGTCTTTCTATTGCAGGTAGTAAATAAGTCGGAACGAGCCGGAACGGACGACTATAGCATATAGCTCCCATAGGAACAATCGGAAACATAAATTTAAAAAAATTATAACTTTGATGTTTTTTAATTTTTTTGTTAGTTCTTCGAGATATAGTAATGGTTAAATATTTCAGAATTACGGTTTAAATTTCATCAAAATCGGACGACTATAGCATATAGCTCCCATGGGAACAATCGTATAGCTGCCATAGGAACTATCGAATAATTAAGCTGCAGATCATCATAGTTTCAATGTTTTTAAACATACACGCAAGTAAATCATAATTTTTACGTTTTCAAGAGTATTTAGTTCTTGAAATAGCTGCATTTCGGCTTGCCGAAGTTTGCTTTCTTTCTTGTTAAATATATGTTAAATAATATAATATAATATAATTCGTGACTAAGATGTTTTAAAAATTTAATTTTTGCAATTGCTGCAGGCCATATAAACTTCAGCTTCCTTTGCATCCTCTTATGTTATATATTTAATTAAAAAACACTATTTCCTATGTTCCGAGAATAGATATTGTTATCCCGAACATAAATGAACATAAATCCACGACATCTGAGTACAATATACTTGAACTTACCGAACACTTGCAGACTCTCCAGCCTGGATAAAGTGAAGAGTCTGATGGGGGACTTGGTGCAGCTGATCTGCCTGAAGGACACGTTCTCGAGCAAGCCCTTCGGAGAGAAGACGCACTTCCTCGGCGACTGGTCGCCGTCGTCGAAGACGTGGGAGCGGGTGTCACAGGTGGAGAGGGCGCGTCTGGTGCGCCTGCTGGCGCCCGGCGAGTTCTGGATGTCGTTTGCCGACTTTGAGGAGATCTTCACCACGATGGAGGTGGTGTACCTGGACACGGAGACGGCCAACGACGAGGAGATGCTCAAGAGTCGGCCTCTCCACTGGAAGATGAAGATGCACCAGGGCCAGTGGAAGCGGGGCGTCACGGCCGGCGGCTGTCGCAACCACGAGTCCTTCCACATCAACCCCCAGCTGCTGGTATCCGTGCAGGAGCGTCAGGATCTGGTGGTGGCCCTCAACCAGCACACGGCCGTGGAGCCCAAGGTCATCGGCTTCACGATGTACACATGGGACGGCGACTACGGGCTCAGCGAGTGCCTGCAGAAGGACTTCTTCAAGACGCACGTGAGCTTCCTCAACTCGAACTACGGCAACACGCGCCACGTCAGCTACCACACGCACCTGGAGCCGGGCCACTACGTGCTCATCCCCACAACCTACGAGCCGGCGGAGGAGGCCCACTTCACGGTCCGCATCCTGGGCACCGGGGCCTTCCGCCTCTCCTGCCTGGAGACGCAGACCATGATCCTGCTCGACCCCTTTCCGGCGCTCAAGAGCTCGGAAGCCGGTGGTGCGGAGCGGTGCGGCGGCGGCGGCGGCGGGCAGAAGACCAAGAGCGTGTGCCAGTACGAGCCCGTCTACATGCAGCTGGCCGACGAGAACAAGACGATCAACTGCTTCGAGCTGCACGAGCTCCTGGAGGCCTGCCTGCCCAACGACTACATCAAGGGCTGCGCCAACATCGACATCTGCCGCCAGGTGATTGCGCTGCAGGACAGGAGCGGCAGCGGGCGCATCACCTTCCAGCAGTTCAAGACCTTCATGGTCAACCTGAAGGCCTGGCAGGGCGTCTTCAAGATGTACACCAAGGAGAAGGCCGGCATCCTGCGGGCCGAGCGCCTGCGCGACGCCCTCTGCGACATCGGATTCCAGCTGAGCACGGACATCATGAACTGCCTGATCCAGCGGTACATCCGCAAGGACGGCACCTTGAGGCTGAGCGACTTCGTGTCGGCCGTCATCCACCTGACCACGGCCTTCAACCAGTTTCACCTCAAGAACTACAGCCAGGTGAACGTAATTGAGGTGCACCTGCACGACTGGATAAAGAGCATACTGAGTTGCTAGGCATCCGCTTGATTGACATGGTTTCCAACCTTTATACTTCTGAACTCTTTTTACCCCTTTCTTACCCCTTCGTTTTCTTCTATAAGTTAAAGTATTTTTTCAGGAAAATGAGTGGAACAACAGCAACTACTTTATTGTGAACCAGAGATTCAGAGAAACCCCTCGTACTCAAGACCTATTTGATGTTCTTCGATTTGGCCAGATAATGTAATGCGGCTGCAGGATTATTAACTACTGAGAATTTTATTTATTGTTCTTATGGCTACAATTAAACGAGCGCTGAAGGCGATACGTGTTCAGAGTATTTTCAAAATGCATGTTTGTTTGTTCACTTTGTTCCCAGCTTGAGAATAGGGATTCCGAATTCCAAGGTTAGTCCGTATGCAGATACAATAGTGTGCCCTTCCGATCGGCGAAATCGAATTGCGCGGTTAGTTAGATTATCTGCCGTATGGCGTATAGTTAAGGTATTTATAAAATAAGTGTGTGTACAAGTACAAGCAATTAATAGCGACGCGAGTATTGTGTGTGCATATAGTACACTAGCGGATGTAATCCATAGTAGGCTTAAAACGTAATTGCATGTGCGTGGGTCTATATGGCTTATGGCTTATGGCTTACAGTTGACAGTTTAAAATTCATATAGGTCGAGTTTGTCCCTTGTTGTGAAATGTAACGACTCTGGTCCGGGATTAAAGTTCCGATCAAGAGTTCCGATCAAGAAGTGTCCTCATGAGACCAGGCAACAACCCACGCATGTGCTTCACCTCTTAACATAGTCTAAAATATCAGCGTGTGATCATTACCATCTGTAGTGTGTGGTGGACGACATGACCGCCGAGGGTCCTCCCAAGTGCCTCCGATTGTAATTTACAAGACGCCACTCAAGTGTTCCCCAATTGACATTGCGTTTACATGGATGTTCCGTTCTGGGAGGATGCATCGCTGATGCGCCGGGAGAGCGTCGTCTTGCGGTTGATGGACTTGGAGTGGCCGTTCTGGTTGGAGTGGTTCGATCCGGCACTGGTCGGGGTGTCGTTTGTCGACGAGTCCATGGTCCGCATCGCAGACCGCTTCAGGGATCCGGTGACCTCATGTGGCTCCTGGTAGCCGGAGTCCATATCATCATGGTAAGAGTCCATCAACGGCGTGGGGTCCTCGTAGTCGTAGTCAACGAAGCCATTGTTGTCGAAAGACTGAAAGCAGGGGGACGTGAAAACAAATTTAAATTCCAGTTATGAAATTTATTTATTGCCTTTTATTTATTTATAACACAAAAGTATCTCCCAAGTAGGAAAGTCCTGAAGATCGAAACTCCAAAAAGATATTATTGCAAATAAGACTAAACCAATACATTTTCTGAAATTTACTCAATGGCTCCGTTGTAGGAAAAAAAAAATTTTTTTTTTTTTTGCAATATAATTATTTTTATTATAAATATCTTTGCTGCGACGTATAACATGTATCTGTTGCTTTAATTAACCTGTTTTTCCGCTACATCAGGAAGTTTTTCAGCTTGTGCTTTTTGAAGAAAAATCAAATTTTTTGGTATCCAGCCCGTTTCGTAACCGTTATCCTTAACCGGTATTAACTAATCAAAACCGAAACCGGAACCGAAATAATTGGCTTTTTGCATGACCAAAACCGTGACCAAAATATATAGAAACCGAAACATTTGTACCGGTTCTGCTAACGTATTCTTAAAAAAATAATACGTAAAAAGTCATAGCAAATCCATATGTGAGATCCTGCAAATGTTTTCCTTTTAGAGGATTTTTTTTACAATACACATCAATAATATTGCTTTTAAATTTCCCTTTCTTTGAGTAAGATTTGGTTTAAATTCGAGGAAAATGGGCAGGAAAAGCAAAAAGACGAACTATTGGATTTGTTAACAAGCTTGGACTGTCAATATATGGATATTACGTTCATGTTGGTCCAGTGTTGCCCTTGGATTTCCAGCAGTTCAAAAAATTTTCGGTAGTCTTTTGGGCTGCTGCTGAAATTTCAGCAAGATAACCTTTTATGGAACAGCTGATGAACAACTGACCGAATTCAGACTATTATTCTTAAAATCAAAGAAATCCAAAAAGGTACCGACAAAAGTACATATGTATATATATTGGCGGAAAATTAAGAATCAGGTGAAAGGAAACGATTTCGAGACAACAAAGTTTGAATTTACTGGATCAATATGAAGATCCGAGTATATATGTATATTGTTCCGTATGAACTTAGAATCCACGGGTATGCAGCTTGATAAATGGGATCGATAACAGATCGCAGATTGGTCTAGCTATAAAATGTTGTACATTTTTATATGATAAACAGAGTTTGGCTAAACAAGTTTTTAGTGAAAATCTGACAATTACTTAGAAGGTTTCCAAGCATAGTAACAAGCCTTGGCTTTGTACAACATTTTATTTCACAGGACCTTGAGTAGCGGAGTATTCGGGCCTTGACTTTTTTGTTTTCTTTTTTTTGTTTGTCTTGCAAAGGGTTTTTAATTTTTAACCAACAATTTGCAACACAAAAAAGAAGACATTTCCGAACCTAAGTATAAAGTGTATGTACATATTGTTGATGAGCTTCACTAGAGAGTCTAACTAGTCATCTCCGTCTGTCCGCCCGTCTGTCCGTCCGGTCTACGTAAACTAGTCTCAGACTTAGTTTTAATCCAAAATCTTCCTAAAAATCTTCGTTCTATTAAAGGTAGGACTATGTCATGTTCCATTAGAAACAATTTATACAAATACACTCCAATATATAGTAATGGTAGTATAGTACTATTTAAGAACTACGGTTTTAATTTTGTAAAAATCGGACAACGACATCATATTGCTGACATTGGAGCGATCAAAAAATGCATCGGAAAATCTACATAGATCGCTTCATTGTTTTGAAACGTATTTTAGTTAGTTTATAATAACATCCTAGCCTCCCTTCTACATACTTGTAGTTGCAGCAGTATCCCCCGATCCTTACCTTGACAAACGACTGCGAGTGCTTCTCATAGCCGCGGAAGACTTGGCCGTGGGACTTGCCGCGGTAGTCGACCGACTCGTAGTGCCCGTCCTGCGAGTTCTCGATGATGAAGTGCCGGGTGCCGTGGGGCGTTAGGGTGGCCCACAACAGACGGCTGTCGTTGACCAGCTGGCTCTGGAGCAGATCCCGGCTGTTGGCCGTGGCGCAGGGATAGAGGATGCCGCCGGATGTGAAGGCGTTCGACTTGGTGGCCTCGCCCAGGGCGTTGATGGCCGTCTGCTTGATGTTGGTGTCGTGGTACGAAAAGAAGGAGCTGCGGCGGGCAGGAAAGGGGAATCGCTATGAGCAGAGAGCACAGGACTAGAACCGCCTGAATACTTACTCTCGACATCTGATGACGATGAGGGCCAGGAAGCAGCCGAACACGAAGATCCCGATGCAGGACGAGACGAAGAGCCACATGTTCTCCAGGCTCTTGGAGTCGCTTCTGACCAGCTCCATCAGCGCATTGCCGCTCTCGTTGTGCTGCATCCCGTGGCCACACATGAAGGCGGCGAAGCACGGCTGCGACTCATTGGAGGGCAGCAGGATGTCCACGGTCGCCGGCTTTGAGATCAGGAAGGACGGCAGCGGTGGCGGCGGCATCGAGAGGATGAAGTCCGGCGGCGGGCCCGCCAACTGGTCGCAGCTGCCCACACAATTTCCGAGGAGTATGTTCATTTCGAAGCTGAAAGTATCCAGAGCGGACCAGATGAGTTGCACCTGCCTTCTACGAGCCAATGGCGAACACCTATGTACCCACTCTACTCGGGGATTCATGTGTATCTGGGATTCGTGTGTTTGGACTCACAGCACTCTTTTGGGGGTAGGTTTTGCTCTGGTAACTACTAACTGAATCTACCACTGGCCGCCCCGTAACTATTAACTATTAACTTTTGCGGCCCATTTTACTGTTTAGTACTTAGTGGCACTGCCTAAAGTCTAACAATTAAAAGTTCCTGTCTTTGGCCAGCCGAATCCTTTGAATACACAGATACAAACACAACAAATCATTGAAAATTCCATTACATCGTGAAAAAAAATGTTTGTGGACTCCCCGATTCCCCGCAGTGGTCGAAATAAAGCGGAGCAAGTAGGAATTGTGTAAATCACTTAGCCAGATATTAATAATAGCCCATTGACAAAAAATAAAACAGTTTCAAACCTCTTAGCACACTGCCTTGACTTGCGTCAAGGAAATCCCAGTCAGAACTGTGTGGCAGTAACTATCCCAAAAACACGACTCTCCATCAGAAATGCGCGCGCATCTTGGCCCGACATAGAAATCCAAAAGGTTTGTCCAAACTTTGAAGCCGGTTAGTGCTGTGCCATTGGACACACCCAGGCACACTCATTCATGGGTATATCCCTTAAAACGATATTGAGTATTTAATTTGTAAACTACTATACTACTTTACTTTTATCCAATAAAATTGATACGATTTCTATTCATCTTAGAAGTGAATGAAGAATTTAATTTAGGAGATACCAGAACAAATACTCTTGTATTATATTTATATATATATTTACACTTAAGCCTAAGAACTAAAGCTTCTCTTCGAAAGGATCCAATTTTCTTAAAACACATGAACTTTTGAAAAGTGCAGATAGCTCTTATTATTTTTGTTCCCCAACAGAGGGTGTTATTATTTTAGCCAGAAGTTTACAACTTAATTAAGGAGTCATTATCAACCACAAAAACTTAAACTTAGCAATTAAACCGTCCATAGGCATTTGAAGTCCAGATATATGACAGAAAACTCAATTTATGAGAGCCTCATGTGTTATCTCAAAAGAACCTTTTGGACCATGACTCAATCTGCGAATTTCTGCTAAACTGTAATAATCGATCGGTTGGCTACTGGAGATAAAATATTGATCACATATGAGAACGCATATTGGCTTTTCAGCAATTCAACAAAAATGTTTAGTAGCTGCTAAACTTCTGAAATTTCAGACGGTTTAATTTGTATGGAACAGCTGACAAAAATTCTGCATTTCAAAGATTCAGTCTATTAGATAGTACATGTTCGTATGTTCGTATATGTTTAAAAACATTGAAGATTTTTTTAAATTATTCTCCAGTTCCTACGGCAGCTATATGATATTTTTTCCGATTTGAATAAAATTAAAAGAGTAAATCTGAACTGTCAAATTTCTTTGGACTTAATACCAAAGAAATTTAAAAACAAGAAAAGAAGCAAACTTCGGCAATCCGAAGTTTATATAATAAATATATATATATAATTAAATATTTTTTACAACATCTAATTATTATTATTATTACGATGATTTTCAGCTCAATTATTCGATCGTTCATATGGCAGCTATATGATATTGTTTATTGATGTGAATGAAAATGAAAGCGTAGTTCTGAATTGTTAAACCATTAATATTTCCAGACGAAATAATAAAAAAAATACAAAAATGAAAAGTTACATTTTTTTTAAGTATTTTTAAAAGTTTTTATTTTGTTAATTCTAATGGGAGCTTTCTGTTATAGTCAACCGATTTTAATCAAATTAAAACCGTTATTCTGAAAATTTAACCCATTACTATTTGTTACAACAAGTATCTTCCGACTCTAATACATCGTTCAAAATGGATGTTAACAACATAAAAGTTCGGAGACACTGCCGTTATAAAGACTAACATCCCACGCAGCGAATTACCCTTGGGAAGATGGAGTTGTCCGTGAGCTCGATCTGAATACAACAAAGGATACAAATTGAAGACCAGCAAATAGGAGTCAATCGCAACGACATTGAGGATCGTTGTGGGAATAAAAGTCCACAATAAGGGCTGCTATACCTATGTAATTTCTTAATGTTATAACTATTAATTTAAATTGATTTTTTTTATAATTTGTATGGAAACCTCTGTGATCTGAATACCATAATTAATTGTATTGTATTCGGAAGGAACAGATCTAGGCACTCTAGGTAAAAAGCAAAGCCAAGCTAGTTATAAGAAAATATTAGAAAAAAAAAAATAAGGCAGCCTTGAACATTATTGAAAACAGGCAGAATATGTAGTTCATATTATGAACACTACTTATAGTAATTAGCAAGAAATGACAAAACTAAGCGAAATCGAATATTATGAAGCTAGCTTCGACAAATCAAACTTTATATGCGCAGCTAAAATAAAAATGTGTTCCGACTTATACATTAATTTACATTTTTGGTTCATATACTTTCGGTCCAAACAATAGCTCAAATTTTCGGCATTCTTTTTGTATACCTGGCCATTTCGTGGTTCATACATTTGGTCATATCTTTTTTTTTAAAGCAAGCGAAGCTCAAGAATTCGCGATTCTGTTTTTCGTTTCTTTTTTGGACTTGTAAGGAAGTTTAAGTGAAGTTTCTTTAGCATTCCCATAGCTTCAAGCAGCTCGGCTGGGGAGCCCTTGATATATTAGTCGCTTTTGACTTTCAGTCGCACTGACAACCTGTGGCAGTATTCCTCGCCGCCAACCATACAGTAGACGACGGAAGACGTGCTTAAAGCCCCTTCTCCTCCGCAAGCTCCGTAAGCCGCCAAGTCCTGTCCTTGACGTTCAATGTCCAGCTTACGCAAACTCACTGCAACTCTGCATTTAAAGGACAAGCTCATAAGATGTGCTTCCAGTCCTTACTTAGATCGCCACATGAGCATGCCCCATGTATCCGGTACTAAATTGTTAGTCACCCGTCGTAGTCCCCCATAATCGTGCCATCTGTCCTGCCAATCCCGCAAAAAGCATTCATCTATCCGCACCATTCTTTGCTTTTAGCTTACCCTTACAAGGTCTTTTAATAGCAGCCAAATCAAACGGGGAGCTCCAGCAAGCACCTGCAGGATTGGCCTTTGGTAGGCAATTAGTCTTGGTGTACCATACTGAGGCACCATGAATCCGGCATACTACATATATATGCTCCGCCTGGCTCGAGGACTGAAACCCAAGTCGACTCGAACCACCCGCGCCAAAGCTCCAACGATGCGATGTGCCTGAAGAAGTTTATGCGCTCGCCGACTGTGAGGCGTCAGCTGTGTGACCGTCAGCTGTGTCAAACGGCAAATTTCTATTTATTTATTTATTCGCCAATGGATTAATCCTCATCTGGCTTATCAGCTCATTTAAATTTAAAACTAAATATTAATTTAAAAATATTACCTTAGCAATTGCCTAAGCACATTCTTCTTGGATCTCCAACCCAATCGAATACTTGGTGGCAAAGAGTTAAAAAGTCGTAAAGCTCTTAAGATTTTTCCCGTATGTTTCCATTTAAAGTCACCATTAAGCAGCATTTCCACCAGCAAGAAGGCTCTGGTGAACACTGCAACAACAATTTTCGCTCCCCACGCTTTATGAATGGATATTATTTGCGATTATTGTATTTCTTGCTGTGTCATCGATCAGAATATCCCTAATAAATGGGCCACTGTTTGATTCTTCCGTCCGCCTGCGACTTAAAAAAATATTTTAGACGCTTTTCCAGGGATTCAGTGCGATTTCTCTTACGAAATGTTTCCAGTCCTTCTTAGTTCTCAGGATAATTTGTTTGTAATCGGCTGAGGCACGCCTCAACCCAATCGAAAGCCACTCAGTCGCCTCCTCGTCTCCTTTTGAGCTGTCGGGCGCTCTGCCAAGACGCCAATATGTCCATTTTACACATATGTTTGTACCAAGTAAGCGTTAGAAAATATCCAAAACGAAAACTTGGACTTGTGAACCTATGGCTGCAAAATGGAATGACATAACAACTTGGCAGCACTGTTTGGCCACGTTTGAGCACAATCGGAAAAAGTTTAAACGGCGAACTACTCCAAAGAATGAGAAAACGTTTCTATGGGACAGAAACATGGCATACGTAAAGCAGTAGGCAATATGCAGTTTATAAATGCTGAAAAAGCATGAAAAAGTTGTGACGAGGGTACGTTGTATCTATCGGGCAAAAAAAAAAGGCTAGGAATACTTTAACAACCTTCATTAAAAAATGTGTACAAAATTCGGCAAGGTCTTAAAAACCAGTCTTAAAATTATGAATTTCCAAAAAACTTAAAAATTTATGCAATTTATTAATGTGCTCGTGTTATCTAATTCTTAAAACGTATTGGTTGATCACAGCTCGAACTATTACATTAAAATAGCCAATTAAGTAGGATTAAGTTAATAAACTGCCCACATATAATAAGTCGACACATTACAGAAGTAAGATATGTTTTAAAAACTATATATAAAGTCAACATGTATTTTTACATTTATATGAGTTAGAACCCGTAGGTGGTAACTTTTTTAGCAGCGTACTAAAATAACAAAACTGAATTCAAGTTCAGCCTATATATTTTGGATCATAAGATTATAAGAGTGTTATTTTTTGTCAGTGTAAGTCATGACGACGCCGACTATCAGAGCAAAAACGGTGAAGCCCTGAGCCGCGATTCGAGTGCGCATCATCAGCTGCGACATCTTGCGATTGCCAGTGCGAAAGTTGTATAGGCCGGCTGTGAGAGCCGCTGTGGTCGCCAGGCATCCTGCATCCAAAATAACGCACAATCGCAAAAATAAATATTTGTTTTGTTTACATAACCCCCGCTATGCTGAGCGGCACAACTCACCCAGTGGAACCAGCGGGTTCTCCTTTATCTTGCGCTGAAGCTTTTCCTTTGTCGTTTCCACCTCGACAACCGGTCCCAGGTCCTGGCGCAATTGTATCCAATCCAATTCCTCCTCGGGAAGGGAGACTTGAATTTTGTTTGACATGTTGCTGTTGTTTCTCGTTAAAAGATGGCAAACTACAAACAAAATCGAATTATATTATTGAATTAGAGATGAGCGAGAACCATGTTTTTCTACCCGTGACACAAACAGAAAACCGTGCGTTCACACTAAGGATGCGAAGACGCAGCTGTTTTTGATAGTAATTGTGGTTACACACTGTCACTTTTAGCCATTCAAAAAACTCTAGATTTCGTAATCGTTGAAAACGACAGTTGTTTTAATTTTTACTAAAAAGCCATGATAACTTTGTAATATACTAGTATCGCAGCACGCGTTTTAAAAGTCTATTCACACAGGTTGCTTTTCTGCAACAGCGACCCAATTCCGCAACAGCAGCTTTTTTCTATCAGAAGTAACATACATGTGCATTTTGGACCAAGTCAGCTGTTTAAAAGGCAATGTAATTAAATAAACAAATGTCAATTTCAATATATAAAAGATTTGGGAGGTATGGACAGTCATTTGACCTGAGGGACAACAAGCTTGACGACCTACAAGAGGTTTCCGCGCTCATAGTTATAGGAAATCCAGCAGGAATCATATCATTTATAAAAGGCTAACACCAATGGATACATCATAAGCTAAGGAAAAATTGCATTTAATTTTGCGTTGACATTCATTTCTTTGTGGGAAAACTCCTTACTCTCTTACACCACGATAGAACTAAAAAAAAATACATATTGGGAATTTTTTACAAAAAACTATAAAGAATATTCAAATTTGGTAGAAAGATCTTTATTATACAACTCTTAAATAATGTTACAATATTTTTTCAGAGCTTTTCAAAACAAAATTGCGTTTTGGCTGTAGATTTCCATAGACGTCTTTTTCTGATAGCCCTCCATGGCCGGTAAGGTTTCTCCTGCAATTAAAAGGTTTGGGTCATGAAATAAAAAATTTTCAATTTAGTATAATGTACGTACGTACGTACGATTTTTTTAAAATCAATTTCTGCAAAAATGACATAATTAAAAAAAAAAAAAAAAGAACGATAAAAAACCGCTTCGAGCGGTTTTATAACAATTGTAATTTGCAATATAAAACAAAAACCCATACGTACTTCCATAGAGAAAGTATTGTTGAATATGCACAAAAAATTAGATGTGATTTCAGTAATTTTAACGCAAAATAGATATAGAATATTGCGCCATCCTTGCATAAAAACTCAGCTTCTTTAGTGGTGGCACTATCGAAATATCGTTATAAATCAGTATTTTCCGGTATTTTTTCTAAAAATTGTCGGGGCGAATGATTTTTAATTGCTTTTATTTATCGCATTTATTTTAAATGCGGCATTTAGCTTTATGGGATTCCCTGTGTAAATAAATGCGCATTGGGCTAAATGCGTTTTAATGAGCCAATGGAATCCGGCTAAAATATCCCAAACTTCAAGAAAACAAATTATAATGTTACCAAATGCTGAGCAGCTGCTCCAAAGACCATTATTAGAAGCGCGGGGCGGTACCCTACAGCGCGCTTGAATAGAGCAGAAGGGACTATTGGAATTAGGTCAGTTAGAAATGCGCTAAAAAATTTTAAAAATTCCTATCGTGGTGTAACTTTTTTAATATAGTATATACATATACTGGTATAATAGTTTTTATTGGAACCGAGAACACGTCTTGTATTTTTCAAAATCAGTAATACAAATTATATTACATAAATTAAAAGTATTTTTTCTTTAAAATAAAACTGGCTTTTCAAAAAAAGAACTACAAAATTTGTTTTTTGGGTTTTGTGCCCCCACTAATACTTTTACACATAGCTGCATTATCATTATTTTAACATGCCTCTCTTTTTAAAACGGGAGAGAACGAGAGAAAAAAAGAGAGGGAGAGAGAGAGAGAGCTGGGAAGTACAGTCAGACGGGAACACAAAATGAAAATGTGTATGTAGCAGCCGCGACTATGTATGTATTACACGTATATTCTTGCGTATGTATCAATGTGTTTGCATTGATGCATATCGTTTTTGTAGAATTCGTATGTCAAGCGTACATGAATATGTACATTATAATAAATTTGGGATGCAAACATATGTACATACAAGAGTGTTTAGATAAAAATAAAATATGTTTAAAATAAATTTCGCATTGCTATGCTCAAAGGTTCGCTTGCAGATTTTGTAAAAGCAAAACGCCAACCTACTTATGTACATATGTATGTATAGCATTTGCGTGTATGTACATATGCATACATACAGTTTTGTATTTTTCCCACACTGCTTAGTTGGTATGTATGTAAGGAGGGGAGAGGGTGCGAAGCGTTTATGTACAATCTCGTGTTTGTTTGTAGGTGTGCACGAAAGTAACAAGCCAAAAATGTTATAAGGCCTTTTCCCTCCACCACGTGTATGTACATATGTATGTATCCACCGCCCAGAGAGAGTGTACAGTAAACCCAAGCGAACTCTCTCACGAAACGCGTCCAGTCCAGTCCCAGTCCACCAGCAATTGAGATTGAACAGGGCTCTCGCTCTCCCGCTCTCCTGCTCTCTCCCGCACACAAACACACCGTTGCGCATACAATTCAACGCATACAGAAGTTTCGTTTGGATTTTGAAGCACAGTAAGGCAGAGACGGCTATTCAATTCAATAGCCTTTGCATTCGTTGTTGGTACTCTCTGTGTGTGTTTTCAATCAGGCGAGCGGCGCGCGTACGAACCTCATATTTTCCGCATTGATACGATACCAACAAAACACAGCGATACGACTCAATAAAGCAGCCTATGCAGCGCTGTTTGTTTATTTTTTACAAGCTAAAAACAAACGACAAAACAAATCAGCTAGCCGCCCGCGTTCGCGTTTGCTTGGCGCTGCAAAAACACGCGTTTCGTTTCGTTGCCGTGCGTTGCGTTGGGAATTTCAAAATTCAGATTTCAAATTAGCGTGTGCCGTGTTCCTTTTCCTTCCCACTATCGTGCACACACATTCGTACGTATACATACATACGTGCAATAATCAATACAATACGAAGTACAACAAACTGCGTAGAACAGTATTAAAACTGGCTTAAGACTCGACTCCTACTTACGTTGGTGTGCGGTGCGCGTTTATACGTTTATTTGTACAAGAAGGGACGAAAAGTGGTCAATTGAGTTACTTTTTAAGACTGGCAGTGAAAAAGCATTAAAAAGGGAACTAACTAAAGCCAATCCGCGATTAAACCGTTCGGACCCGATCCGATACCTCACATAGTTATGGAACACTTTCATCAAATACAGGTAAGCTTGTGTGCAGGTATACGGCATTTTATTTAAGCACCAACACTCACACGTACTAACACAGTCACAGCGGCGTTGTTGTATGGGTTGCCGCGTTTTCGCTAAACTTACTTTACTTTTCCCGCCATCGGTGGTATATTTAATAAAGACAATGCATGTATTCGCACAAAAGAAGCTTTAACCATTGCCCGGATATTTCGGCACCTGACAGGGCTCTTTGCTGCAGTGGAAATTTTTGAAAGTCTGGTAAGGCTGTGTACATGATGAATTCATACGTACATACATATGTACATATGTGCGTGTATACATATGCTTTGCATATTTTCATTCGGTCGCTTTGTTTTAGGTAAAAAGTAACTAATGCACTAAGAGTACGCCTGTGTGTAAGTATGCATACAAACAAAAACGACGCTGTACAATCAAAATTTTATTTTGCGTGCGCATCTAAGTCCGCCATTTTTCTTAATAGTTTGTATAAATATACACAAATATATTTATACCAGAGTCGTGAATAGTTGCAAACACTTGGTTGTAATATTATTAAATTTGTTTAAATATGCTGCCAAGTGTTGCCGTAATGCGATGTGCGCACGTTTGCTTGTATATATATGCAAAAGTATGTACATATGTATGTCTGTATGTGAAAACCTAAATATGAAAAACAAATCACAACTTGCGTAATCTGAAATTGGCTATTTTTCCCCCAATGTGTGCATAAATACATTTGACTTAAATATGTATGTACATACGTGCGAATACTTGCTATGCAAATATTTATGCGCATACCTATTTATTATTTACTTACATATGAGTGTATGTATATATGTTCATACATTTGTATTTACTCAGTTGTCTTCTTTTGTAATATACACATACATATAAACTTTTTTTTGGGGGGTATGCCCTTATGTTAGAAAAATTATTTTTGTTTTGCTTTCGAGTTGTCGTGTATTGCAAATAAACAAAAAAACACGCTATTTTCAGCTTATAAATAATTGAGTGCGGATCATTAAACACCGACCATTCATGGGCTTGCTGTGACGCCCTGGTTCTAAACTCTAGGCCCTGGTACGGAAGCAAAAATGAACGTTATCCGATTCGATTCAGAAGACGGAACCAGTGCGATTTCTTCTTCTTCCCATTAGTAGTTCCATAACCATGCCCGATTCATGTAAAAGCTTTTATCTCTGCGTAAACAGCTGGTGAGATACTTGTAAACAAATCAAGTAAGAACACTAAGGTCAAGGACAATAATAATGAGATAAAAGTGGACAACTAATCTGCGGTAACTTTAAGCTATGTATCTGAAAATGTACAATGCCTTTTTATACGAACTTACGCGGATACAATTGTTGAAAATTTGTACAAATTGAATGTATACCAATTATCTACATGTTTATTTACATGTTTTACAACGTCACTGAAAAATACAAAGTAAAAAGCACGCCCTTAATCTATAATCCAATCTATCCGCTTTGGGAGCGGAATAGGATTTGATTTAGGATAGATAGATTTTAATTCAATATGCTCGAAATTACAAATATCTTAGGCTTGGCCAGAACATTGTATCTATTACAGCATCACTAGGAAAGTCGGTATAGCCATGTCCAACTATACCGTATGCGAGATAAGTTTTAAAGTTAAACTATGTCAAAAAACCGAATCGGTCGGATGACTACAGTTGCCATATGCCATAACGTTTGGTTGTTTTCAAAGAAGTTTTCGTATATCTCGCCGTGTTCTTGGACCCATCCTTTGATATAATCATATCCTATAGCAGCTACTTAAAAACAAAATTCATTGAACATACATAATATTTGTTTATGATTTTTGGTTTTGTGTAAAAATAAAGAGGGAACGATATGTTGCAGTGGGCGTGGTCACGTTTTGAAATAAACTTGCGCTTCGTAAGAATAACTAGAATCTGCATGTCATATTCCAAATTTCTAGGGATAGACGGACATGGCTAGACCGACTCGTCTATTGATCCTGATCAAGAATATATACAAATTGCAGGGTCGAAATCGCTTTCCTCTAACTGTAACATACTTGCCAACGAATACAATAACAATATATTAATGTACATGTTCATAGAGGTAAATTTCAGAAAAGTACGCTGACTGCAAGTCTGTATCTGCAGATTTCTTACCTTATTAATAAATAGGTCGATGTCGATTTTGGCATTTAAATAATTGTTGGTGTAAAGTCGTGAAATAGATTTTCTTTAAATCGAAACAGACACTTGTCCTCGAGTTGGTTAAATAATTGCTGACTAATAATTCGAAAAGTCAGTTAAAAAATTTTGTTTTAAACTGCGGGGCTACCATTACTGAGGGTTTTAAGCTTTTGTACATATCTTGACTTTTTTGAATTCTATAATGCCGCGGATCGGAAAGCTTTGTAAAATCAAGCATAAATAGTAACTTTCCGTAATTGTTTGATCACAACAAGGCTCAGGCTCTTGAAATAGGCCTTAAATTCCTTAATCCAGTCTATTTGGATGGTCACTTGTCAGGCAACTCTTGACCCACCGTTCTGATCTTATTGGGCACTTTGGGCACTTGGTTTAGTCCCCTTTTGGGAGAAAAAGAACTGGAAAAGAGTTAGGTTCACATTCTTCTGTCGCCAAGAAATATCCTCATTCCCGTTCGAATTTAACTTGTAGTCTTTTGATGCACCGTACTGTTGTTATGTTTTACTTAGTTGCATTTACTAACCCATTCACACCCCGATACTTACATCAATGCTCACTATTATTATGTTAAGGACTATCTTAATAATTAGTGCGATGCTAGACAAGGGGAGAATGCTAAGACTCGAAAACTTGTAGTTTAGACGCAATGACTGGCATCGCACTAATAATGATAATAAACATCACCAACCAACTATTGATCAGCAAACAATTCAACACTATCAGCAGCAACTGGCTGCTCAGCAACAACAACAAGTACAACAGCAACAGTTGCAACAGCACCAGGTGGTGGTGCAGCAGAATCAGCAGCAGGCGCATCAGAACAGCTCCAACACCACAGCCGGCGTGGGCACCCAACAGCTGTTCACATACAAAATGGCCAGCAGTTTTCCGAATCCGGCCACGACGATGGCCCAGGTGGTGGCCACATCGAACGCCGCTGGCACCACGGGATACGACTACCGTCTAAATATGGCCCAGGCCGCCGCAGCAGCCGCCGTTCCCGGCTCCCAGTGGTGGTACTCGGCCGCCAATCAAGGCCAGGTCGATGCCAACACTGCCGCGCAACTGCAGCACCAACAGCAGCAGCAGCAGCAGCAGCAACAGCAGCAGCAGCAGCAGCAACAGCACCAGCAGCAACAACAGATGCAACAGCAGCAACAGCAACAGAACGTCATCAATTCTGCCGGGGTAAGCTAGAATCGCCAAAATTGGTTATATCCTCCGTTATACATGATTTCCATTTTCACCCCACAGAGCCCAATGATCAGAGGCAAGGCAGATGCCAAGCCCAGGGGCAGAATGACCGCCTACGCATACTTTGTACAAACTTGCAGAGAGGAGCACAAAAAGAAGCACCCCGACGAGACCGTGATATTTGCGGAGTTCTCACGGAAGTGTGCCGAGAGGTGGAAGGTGAGTAGCACAGCAAGCAAACAAGCCTGGACAGGGATCCTTTTTTAATGACGGTACTCTTTCCCTCAGACAATGGTGGACAAGGAGAAAAAGCGCTTCCACGAAATGGCCGAGAAGGACAAGCAGCGATACGAGGCGGAAATGCAGAACTATGTGCCGCCCAAGGGGGCGGTTGTGGGACGCGGCAAGAAGAGGAAACAAATCAAGGACCCCAACGCTCCAAAACGTTCATTGTGAGTTCGTAGCAAAATCAATTACCCTATCATCAAACGCACAAATGTGACTGCAAGTCGACCAAGCAATGGATCAATAATGTTCTTCTCCCTTTTGCCGTCAATTGTTAAACAAAATACAGGTCTGCGTTCTTCTGGTTCTGCAATGACGAAAGAAATAAGGTAAAGGCCCTCAATCCCGAGTTCGGAGTTGGCGACATTGCCAAGGAGCTGGGACGTAAGTGGTCGGATGTGGATCCCGAGGTCAAGCAGAAGTACGAGTCGATGGCAGAACGGGACAAAGCTCGATATGAACGCGTAGGTTTGCGTCGAGGCGTTTGCTTTGGATAGCTAACTGACATCTGATTGCCATTGCAGGAGATGACCGAGTACAAGACGAGCGGGAAAATAGCCTTGTCCGCACCGTCGATGCAGGCGTCGATGCAGGCGCAGGCACAGAAAGCCGCGTTACTTGCCGCCGCTGCCCAGCAGCAACACCAGCAGCTGGAAGAGCAGCACGACGACGACGACGGCGATGGAGATGATGACGAGAACCAATAGGTTTAGCAGTAAATACTCTTCACTATTTATACACACAGTCGTTGTCACGAAGGAGAAATGAGGAATGAGAAATGATGACGTTGGTTGATCTATTATCAGGTTGACCAATGTGTGTTGAATATATATTTATATATATAAGGGTGTTCGTTTTAGAGGTTCAGTTTTCCGGCAACAGAAAACTCACAATTAGTTCCGATCTGACAAAGTTATTAAGAATCGTGTTTTGATTAAAAACTCTAACAGTCATGGTGGAAACTTTCTCATTTTTAAAGCAGGTCCATTGAAAGCCAGAACCTTGCGTTTTTGTGTATTGGAGCTCTTGTGAATCTCGAGTGCTTTTTCACCTCGAATATGTGGTGTTGGTCTCTTACAGAAATATTTTTTAACCAAAGCCCAGCTATAAATCCAAGTACCACATAAATCTCTTGAACTTTCAGAAGATTTAAAATTAACCGAAGAACCGAAGAAAAGTAGGCTACGAAAACATTGTTCCTGAACTCTGAAAAACTGTATTCCGAAACAACACGAAATCTTAAGAGATTCTGTGGCACTAATGGATTTTTCAAGCGATTTGCAAACCAGCTGAAGAAATTTTACAGATTGCTGTGATCGGAAAACCAAAGCACAAATTGTTTTTTTTTTTTTTTGTGGGAATTTGATTGTTATCGGGAAGTGGAACCTCTAAAAAACTCCTATTATATATATGTAAATGCATATATATAAATAATATATAATTTTTTTTTTTTAACATAAGTAATCAAATTTCCATGAATTATGAAGATAAATCACAAAGAAACCTTTTATAAGTTCTATGTTAAGATGAATACGATTAAGTATGGTTAGATTAAAATGACATTAATCTGTTTGCAAACCTTATTTGTGCTTCAGTGCTAAGTTTCTCCTAAAGTAATAAGAGAATTATTTTATAAATTGAAGAAATTCATCATCATGTCATTCGTTCTCAGCAACTATGAAGGTTACCACTACATTTATAAATATTGGTACATATTTCCCATTTATTAAACTTAGATTCACCATAATGAAACTACAATTAATGCGTTTACTCATTCGAGTTTATATGTCCCTAACAGAGAACAAACTCAATGAAACGTGATAATGTCAAATACTTAACTCAGTGGCGGGTGATATCTCGATATATATATATATTTTTGCCTCTCTACATGCGTGTTATAACGTCGCACGTATCTGTAAATTAATAATCATTTTGTAAAACCGTGTAATTTAAAAAAAAATATTGCAATTTTAAATTCATTTGATATATTTAATTTTTTTCATTTCCGTGTTCAGTTTGCGATTTTTGAATTCAGATCCTTGGAGAGATTTGGGTTTGTGTTCGCTCATGTGTAAATATATACATCAATTATAAGAGCCACGATCATAAGATTCTGAAAGTTAAACTTAGTTTGTTCAACGTGTTGAGGAATGAAACAACCAAAACGCTATCGGACATTGCAACAATTGTTGACTTGGCCATGTACATACTATTTGAAGTATTATTTAGATGAGACTTACGTAGAAATTAACGAGAATCGAGAGCACGTTTAAAAAAAACCCTCATAAAACAGTAGATTTCATCAGGACTGCAAAGTAATGTAAACTCCGTAGAAAATTGAAAGGGCGAAGTTAAAAATAGATTTTACGTCGGCCTCAAAGCCAAGGTTCCAGGCACCAAACGTGCTTATGCGAATATGAAGAGGGACATGCTCCTGCCCATGGTCAATGGTTAGTCCAGCCACTTGGTCGGAAGCATGTTCCTCTTTATACAGCGTGTATAAGCTAAGTAGTGGTAGGTTATAACGTGATAAGAGAGGAGCTGAAACTATTACTATGGATGCGTCGACGGTCAGTTAACCAAGACAAATCTGGCTGTACCCCTAACTTCGCTCTCCCCACGTTATGAGTACGGCATACATATGTATGTATTTATAAATTTGTAGCATGATTTTAATAGAGAATAACTCGCCACCGAGATTATATTCATAGAAGTGTCTAGGCTAAACCCTTAATTCATAATTTTCTACAAATTGACGGTAACCCCTCATTATAAATTACTATAAAAATTCCAGTTTTCCCCGTGCGCTTGTTATAAGAACTAATCTAATATAAAATAAACTTTTAGAAATGAGATTCTTTTACATGGAATAATGATGTGATCTTTAAATCCATTTGTCTTTATTATTCTTTTTGAGTAATACTTGGTTCATATTAGATTACGAACTTTTATGTTATAACCCTATAAACAGCTTTAGCTTTTATATTTGATAGACACCACTCGGAAGACACCCTGACCGAGTTCCTAAACTTAAAATGTGTGAATTAATTTAGCGATACTATAGTAGCGACTAAGAATTTGTTTTTTTTTCCTAAGAATTTACACAATACTGTAAAAATAGTTTGAAATAAATTTAATTTAGCTAGATGTACGCTTGTAAAGGCAAATCTGAGAACATTTGTTATGAGTTGATTTGCGTACGTAGTACGTAGAGAGGTTTCAGGGGAGTCACCGATCTAAAAAAAAAGTCTAATATCTATCAATTTGAATGTTCGTACAAACTTGCCTCTCGCTTAGACTAAATCTAGATCCTGCTATTTTTTTCATCCCCATAATATACTTAACAAACTCCAATTTAAATTAAAATCCCGAGCCCAAAAATCTTGACGCGAAACAATTTAAATTTACATTTCGGCCATCTTAGTTTTTGTTAACCAAAGGTTAGCAATTATTTAAAAGTTCGGTTACGCTTTCACATCTGTCCAAAATCCCAACCGTTCTGTTGTGTTCCGTGTGCTTTGTGTATCACTAAACTTGGCAATTTTGATCATTAAAAGGTAAGTTGAATACATTTAGCTTCCTTAAGGAAGCTTTAATAAAACAGTTTAGTATTTACAGGTAAATTAGGTGACCATGCAGTGTGGAATCATTTTGGGTTAACAGTTTTTTAGCAGAACAGTCAATAGTGTCTTGCAAATATCAATACAGACCATATACAAACCGGCGTTGAAATAAAAAATGTTAATCACAGTTTAAAAAACCGTTGAAAGTTAAAAAAAAAGCTTGGGCGTCGCCAAAGGCATTCACGGTATTATCCAAATCACACAGAGAAGATCCCAGTGGAATGGGCTTTTTACAGATTTAAAACAGTCGTAAACCTATTAAATGAAAAATGGTTAAAGCTTATCAGAACGTTTAAATAACTGCTTAATCTACTCTTAATACAATTTGCTGCCTGGGGGAGCGTTAACCTCCAAACCCCAAAGTTTTCCCGAATACGTCTCCCCTTTACAGAAATCTCGGTGAATTTTCGCAAGTCCAAACAAATTGAATAAAAAATTATAATTATAAGTGAGGTTATGGAACTCTTTCATGCCCAGCAGGATATCCATAATGTTATCGTGGCATTTGCCAGCTTGGGTGGCAAGGAAAAAGCGCTTATGGTGTTGTTATACCGTATTTCCACAGAGATCCATCCACCTTCCACCATCCGTTGAAGGGATGGTCCATAAGGTTTTGCCGTTCCAAAAACTTCCCAGTCAGTCCGCCATTAAAATATGACGGAGCTTGACGGACTTATTTATGCGGTAGTTAGCCCATGCTTTTGCGGTGCAGCCCTGTTCCAACGCAGTCCATCCCTGCAAAACTGGGTGGAAAGAGGGCATTAGAAGGGTTTGGTGAGAAAAGTAATGGCCTAGTCCCACAGCACCATTAACCATCCACCATCTCATTCGAAGACGGTTTGTAAAATTTTGACGTGCAAAAAATTTTCCGGTTATTCATTGACGGTGGAACTTACGTTCCTAACCGCACGTTTCTATCCGATATTTAGCCGATGTTAACTAACTTCAAAGTCATGCCGCGAAAGTCTTTGAATTGACATGGCGAACGTCTGTGTTTCTGTGAACCAGAGGCGTAGTCGAAAGAGGTTAATGCTCCATCAGGCAGCAATTTGAATACATTGTTATATAAGTCATTATTTAAAAGTTCAGATAACCATTTTACAACTAATCCATACAATTAAAATAAAATAAGAACCGGAAAAAGTACTTCTAAAAGAGTTTGATAGAGTGATACCCCGCTCAAAAAATTCTGCATGCGCTACTGTGACTTTTGATGGACGGTGGATGGTGGCTCTGTGGGAACACCAATCCACCATTCATCAAAAATCCCAACCGTTTCGCTTGCGATTTTTGATAGATAGTGGACTGGTGTTCCACCATCCAATTATAGCCGTTAAAAGTCACAGTGGCGAAAGCAGTATTTTTTAAGGGGGTTTTTAATTGTTCTAAACATACTTTTGCCTGCATTTATTTTATTTAATGCTATGGATTAAAGGATTCTGAACTTTTAAATAATGGCTTTCATCTAATCTGTGTACAAATTTCTGCCTGGGGGAGCGTTAGCCTCCTATCCTCCACTTCTCTTTCGACTTTGCTTTGGGTTCTCAGATAGTAAGATGGCCGCCATGTTAATTCAAATTCATTCGCGCCAAGGGTCAAGTGTTGCACCAAAAAAACATCGGCTCAATAGCGGCTAGAAACGTGCTGTTAGGAACATTAATTTCACCATTTAGGACTTACTGAGAAATTCTTCAAATAAAGTGGATGGTGAATGTTTTCAACATATGGACGTTTAAACTTTTTTATTTGCGTATATATCTGGTGATTACTTTCATGTTGGGACCATGTATTTATTTGAGTACCCTGGCTTTTCAGAAATTTAACAACATTTTCATCAGCTTCTGGGTTGCTGAATTGCTAAAATTTCAACTTAAATTAAGGAAAATGCCGAGGAAAAGCAGAAAAGCCGTTTCATTGCCCCACTGCTATTCTTAACAAGCATTTAGTAGGAGAGAGTGAATACCCTTGCTTTCAGCGATTTAACAAAATATTGTCAGCAGCCTATGGATTGATGCATTGCTAAAACTTCGCACAGTTGAATTGGCATGGAACAGCTGGCAAACAGCTGCAAGCAGCTGGCCGAAATTCAGCGATTCAATCGTTTCGGAATTACCCAAGCAGATTGAGCAGTGCAACAGACGGCGGAGTACCCCATTTAATTTTGTTGAGCCATGCCACCTGGCAACACTGGCAGACTTCCAGCAGCTGGCTTATCTTATCTATTTGTGTGGTATTTTTGGGTGCATTCCAAAAATTGCATTGTCAAAATCGGTTTTACAGCACGCTGCTCCTTGATCGTTCACCTGGCGGAAGAGGGCGCAGTTGATCTGCGAACAGAGTTCCACGCGCTGGAGTCCCACAGTTTTGCATGCATTGTATTTCGTTGTGCGATCGGTTGGCAAGGCACCACTTGTAGCATTCCGTAGGACAGGACAGGACAGGACAGGACAGGACAGGACAGGACAGGATAGCCGGATAGGATGAGCTGCTTCAGTGCGATGAGTGCCCCATTGCTAGGCGAGATGGAGCAGACCATCGGGATGCTGGAGCGGGGCACCATCGTGACCAAGCTGTACGGGAAGCAGCGGCGGCCGGACCGTCGCCACCTGATGCTCATCCGGGAAACGCGCCAGCTGCTCTGGGCCACGGTGGCCACGCAGACACCACGCACCGACTACGAGGGCGCCATCCAGCTGCGCGAGATCCGGGAGATCCGGGTGGGCAAGCACTCGAAGGAGTTCCGCCTGTCCGCCGACGAGTGCCAGCGGTTCGAGAGCAGCAAGTGCTTCGTCATCCTGCACGGCAGCCACTTCAAGCTGAAGAGCTTCTCGGTGGTGGCCCTGTCGGAGATCGAGGCGGACAACTGGGTGAGGGGGCTGCGCTACATGGTGCGGGACACCCTCGCCGCTCCCTACCCCCTCCAGATCGACCGCTGGCTGCGCCGGGAGTACTACCAGATCGAGAACGTCAACTCGCACTCGGCGAAGGCCACGGATCAGTCGCCGGCGCAGGTGACCATCAAGGACTTCAAGCTCTTCCTGGCCGGCGTCAGCTGCAAGATGACCACCGGCAAGTTCATGGAGCACTTCACCGAGGATGTGCGGCGCAAACACGACCTCAAATTCGATGACTTCTCGCGGCTCTACCAGAAGCTGCTCTTGCCCAACGGCTTTGCCGGCATCCTGTCCGGATCCGGTGCGAGTTCAGCTGCAACTGGCTTTCCCTACTCCGAGGATCAGATGGTGGTGCGGCCGGCGGAGCTGAAACAGTTCCTGGAGGCGGAACAGAGCGACGGAGGCAGCAGCAGCAGCGGCGGCAGCAGCAGCGAGATTAGCAGCGCCTCCATTGCCGCCTTCATACGGGACTTTGTCCAGGACGTGGAGCGGGATGTGCAGGAGCCGTACCTGACCTTCTCGGAGTTCGCGGACTTCCTGTTCTCCAAGCAGAACGACCTGTGGAACAGCAAGTTCGACTCGGTGTTCATGGACATGAACCTGCCGCTGTCCTCCTACTGGATTGCCTCTTCGCACAACACCTACCTGACCGGCGACCAGTTCTCCAGCGAGTCCTCCTGCGAGGCCTACGCCCGCGCCCTGCGCATGGGATGCCGCTGCATCGAGCTGGACTGCTGGAACGGGCCCGACAACCTGCCCTACATCTTCCACGGCCACACCATGACCTCCAAGATCAAATTCATGGACGTCATCAAGACCATCAAGGACCACGCCTTCGTCACCTCCGAGTACCCGGTGATCCTGTCCATCGAGCAGAACTGCTCCCTGGAGCAGCAGCGCAACATGGCCCAGGCCCTCATCGAGGTGAGCCCACTGTACTCTATGTACTCTATGTACTCTATGCAATTCGAACTTGCCCAACTTGATTGGCTTACCAAATGGAAAGTAGCTCTTACATGCAAAATAAGTTCTTTGAAACCATCATATTTCGATTTTTGTACGTATATGTTCGATGGTTCCGACAGTTCCGGCAGTTTTGTATATTTAAATGTTGCAATCAGTGTTTAAAAAACTGCTGTCCAAGTAGCAAAAGTCAACCAATTTGATTTCAGATATTTTGTATGTCAAAGGTGCGATCTTCACGACATTTATGCCTCGCAAACAGGTGTTTTTGTTTGATATCAGAAGTTCTTGTTTGAAATATGGTCAAAGTACCCCAATATTGTGACCACGACTTTTACAAAAACAAACTTTTAGCTATACTTCAGTTACGTGCATGCATCTCCCATCAAAATGTTGATATTTCCTGAGATTGTGCCTTTCCCAAATGCAGCAAGCTGATCTCTCGTAGCATTGGGCAGCATCCTATAAAGTGCACGGTTAAGATACATGGCATCCTTCCAACTTTTGGGACATACCTGAAGTGAATTGTAGCAGGGGTAAATCTGGGCTCTACCTCCTCTGAGCAATATACATCGTTGCTTAGCTCCAAGTTCAGTAGTAAACCACTAGGATAACTGGTCACCATACCACACTGCCTTGTACGTTAGGGTTCTTCTGTCGATGGAGTCAAACACAGCTCCCAAATCCACATAGAATGCGTATAACTTTTTCCCGCTGTCGATGCATCACCTTGCTATAATAGTCAGACTAAAATGTTATTTAATGTCGAATATCCTTTTCTAAAACCGGGTTGCAGTTCAGTTTCGATATCGCAGTTTCAGACGATCGATCAGTAGTGTAGAGAATACCTTACGTAACGCTTTCTGACAGGATATGCCTCCGTAGTTGAATGTTAGATGCGGTTTGCCTATTTTAAAAATGGGACAATTATATCGTTTTAAAAGCTTTTCGGGACTGTTTCCAATAACTAGAACTTGCTAAATGCAGTGACAAGACAGGCTTTAAACTGAGGGGTAGCGTACTTTATAAATTACGATGGTATCCTGTCAGGAACAGGTGTCTTTCGTTTTTCTAACGCCGCATATATTTTCCATTTTCCGCGGAAATAGCTTATGTTGGCAGTTACCACTGCGCTTGTCGAGTTTGTCGGTTTAGTTTGCCCTCAGTAAGTTGTTTCGAGTTTGTTTGTATCTAGTATTGGCAGTTTTGGTAATTCACTCTGTAAGGAAACCTTCGATTTCGTCAAATACCCTGTTGTTTCGGTCTAACTTCGACTTATAATTTTCCATACCAATCTTGGTAGAAACCCAAGCGGCTCTGTGGCTAAAATGTGTGTTGTGGCCTCTAAAGAGGCTTGATCAGGTTATGTTTGGCTGCTCACTTTGAAGTCCATGAAGCTAAACAGCTCTATCAAGTGTCGTCCATTTGGGTTTGTCCCTTTGTCCTTGGCGTTCATCGAAGGAGCTTGTCACTCAATGTGTGTCAAATTCCTGATGTTGGGCTTCTTTAAGCCAAGCATGGAACTCTTCTAAGATCATTACACTTTCATTCAGTCGAATGTGGCTTAAAATGTCGTATAGCTTCCCAGAATCTCTTTCAAATGGTTACAGTTAATAATAATATAGTTAGGTGCAGATTTTCATTTTCTACAGTCCTCAGATTGACTATTATACTTTCATTTATATCTATAAAACTAAAATTTTCCTGATGGTGGAGCTCTTTTTGTATTCCATATATATTTTCACCGCTTGCACGACCTATGGAGCTCTTTGAATTCGACTTCGACCGCATCCAATTTGGATTCAAGTAATGTTTCCCAAAGAATACAAATTCCAAACAACACTATGTACAGAGACAAATTAGAATAAATAAGCTCTTTTTTTTATTACCTTTAACTTTATAGGATAATATTCTTCATTTGCACTTGCATTTCTTCTTCCAACATTGCTACAAACCAACCAAGGCCTGCATCTAATAAATTTATTTTTGGTTCCCTTTACTTCTTTTTCTTAGAGTAAGAAACGTGTGGTTAATGATAGCCAAGTTCAAACTGTGTCCTTATATTTTCTTCAGTTTCCGTGACCCATACGAATCTCATTATTATTGAAAGACATCCAGTTTCCATCTATGTTGATGCTGTCGTTTTGTACATTTACTTTCCTTTCCCTGCTTACAACCAAAAGAATCTTTTTCATCTAAAGTGTAGACGCTGCCACAAACTGAACGATAGATGATTCGGTTTTGTATCATTTAAAGATCCAGCCCTAGATCTTTTGTCCATTTAATGTCCGGATAAGTATCGTTTTCGATATCGTTTTCGATATCATTTGGTCCACTGGGACTGTCATTTAGTGATAGATTATTATTAAAGTTTGTGCAAGTGCTTCACTAATATCTGCTGTACCTGTTGCTGCTGTTTCCAGGTGTTCGGGGAAATGCTGCTGACCCAACCTTGTGACCGGAACGAGAAGCACCTGCCCTCGCCCTACCAGCTGCGTCGCAAGATAATCCTCAAGCACAAGAAGCTGCCGCAGTTCGATGACATCAGCAACGGGATTTCGGGCACTGGGTCGTTGGGCCCCAGATCCTCGCTGGCCAGCGGAGGCGGAGGCGGTGGAGTCCACGGGGAGAACGATGGCGAGAATGTGCGCAAGGTGTTCAAGGAGGGACTGCTGTACTTCAAGGATCCGGTCGACAAGACCTGGAACCTTTACCAGTTCGTGCTTACGCACCAGGAGCTAATCTACTCCTCGGAGATCAACGAGTCGCGCAACGGGAACTCGGAGGACGACGACTTTGGGCTATCCTCGTCCTGTTCGCTGAACAGCAACATGCAGCAGAAGCAGAAGGACACGTCAGCCAACGATGAGCTGCACTTCGGCGAGAATTGGTTCCATGGAAAGCTGGAAGGTGCGTTTATGACAGCAATCTTGTTTCTCTTGTTGTACACCCTTGCAAATCCTCATTGCTTTATATTCCCGATTGACATTCTCGGACAGACATCAATTTTTACGACCCGATTTACTTTTCATTTTGTTTCATTTCGCATAAGTTAGGGTTCCTGTTTTCAGCTGTGTGATTGGTTGTTCTGGGTCAGCCAGAAATATTAGGACATTAACATGATTTCTATGATTTTCCTTCGTCATTTTTTAAAATCTTTTGATAAAATTCTCCCGGCTTAGGAAATTTCACGTAACGAGTTCTCTTGAATTTTTCCAAATTTTTTTAATTATGTCGAACTTATCAGTTTTAGTGAAAGGAGTCCGAAGGCTGCACCCTAAATAAAATGGGCATAAATAGATACAAAACGTAAATAAAGTACGTTAAAAAAAAGAAAGGAAGCAAACTTCGGTAAGTCGAAGTTCATATACCCTTGCAGCTATTGCAAAAATAACATATTTTTGAAAACGTTAATATTATGATTGACTTACGTATATGTTTAAAAACATTGAAGCTATGATGATTTGCAGCTCAATTATTTGATAGTTTCTATGGCAGCTATATGATATCGTTCTCTTCTATGGAAGTTATATGTTATTAGTCGTCCGATTTTGATGAAATTTAAACCGTAATTCTGAAATATTTAACCGTTCCGACTTACGGTTTAAATTTTATCAAAATCGGACGACTATATCATATAGCTCCCATAGGAACAATCGGAAAAACAAGAAAGAAAAAAAACTTCGGCAAGCCGAATATTTATTTATACTTTATATGCTATAGTCGTCCGATTTTGATGAAATTTAAACCGTAAGTCGGAACGGTTAAATATTTCAGAATTACGGTTTAAATTTCATCAAAATCGGACGACTAATAACATATAACTTCCATAGAAGAGAACGAATAGAATAAAGAATATTTAATTATTGCAATAGCTGCTAGGGTATATAAATATCAGCTTGTTGAATTTTTCTCTCTTTTTTTTGTATTTAAGTTTAAATTGTGCAATTTTGTTTCAAATAATTTTTGTTGCAAAAAAGTATTAAAAGTAGATTGTATAGGCCAACAGAAGTTTTGTGCAGGCCTAACCGCATACAACTATGATTGATTTGGCTTTTTTGAGCATAACTTCCCACAACCGATATAGTCGAATTACCCTGGGATATCCCTTATTTTTAGTTTAGAAAAAAAAACGTTTTTTTTTCTTCTGTTTGATTATTTATGTCAGAATGGCCAGATAATCGAAGTACAATTTTTGGAATTACTAAGTCTGATAACTCTTTGATTTGCTTTCCTAACAAAGGCGTTTAAATTTTCAAAATCACAGCCAAATTAAAAAGCTCAATTTGTAAAAAGCGTTTAAAAATTAAATACAAATATTTTCTGTGATGAATTTTTTTTACATAAACAGACGTGTGTCCATCATTTATGACAATTATACCGGTTCTCTAATCTGTTTTAGATTTTTAAAAGTTAATTTTTAAATGATCCCAAATTTCAGTTTAGGTTCACTTGCTTGCTCCATTGTTTTAATCTGTAGATATCACTTGATTATATATGTTTCAGGTGGCAGGAAGGAAGCAGACGACCTGCTGAAGAAGTATAAACATTTTGGAGACGGAACGTTTCTAGTACGCGAATCGGCCACATTTGTAGGGGACTACAGTCTATCGTTTTGGCGTAGGAACCGACCCAATCACTGCCGCATTAAGTTGAAGCATGAGAACGGCTCCATCAAGTACTATTTGGTGGAGAACTTCGTTTTCGACTCACTTTACTCCCTGATCGTTTACTACCGCAAGAACATGTTGCGCAGCTCGGAGTTCTCGATCATACTGAAGGAGCCTGTCCCCCAGCCGAAAAAACACGAGGATCAGGAGTGGTTCCACCCAAACACCACCAAGGAGCAGGCCGAGCAGGGTCTCTTCAGACTGGACATCGGCTCGTTCCTGGTGAGGCCGTCGGTGCAGAGCATTAACGCCTTCGTGATCTCGTTCACCATCAATCGGAAGATAAAGCACTGCCGCATCATGCAGGAGGGCCGTCTGTACGGCATCGACACGATGAACTTCGAGTCCCTGGTCTCGCTCATCAACTACTACACCCGGAACCCGCTCTACCGCAATGTCAAGCTCAGCCACCCGGTCTCCCAGGAGCTGCTGCGCCAGGCGCTGGCGGAGATCGCCCACGGCGAGCATGGTGGCGGCCTCGACGACAACGGGGCCTCCAACTACATGGGCTCCAACCTCGAGGAGTACGTCACGTGCAAGGCCCTCTACAGCTACAAGGCGAACAAGCCGGACGAGCTCTCCTTCCCCAAGCACGCCATCATCACGAACGTGCAGAGGGACAACTCGATGTGGTGGATTGGTGACTACGGCGGTATGATAAAAAAACATCTGCCGGCCAACTACGTTAAGGTGAGACCTGCAGTGCAGGGCAAAATAGTTTTAAACGGTCAATATTATATTATTAACCAAAGGACATACATTGAATTCATTTTGGTAATATTTTTGTTACAAAACATGGATCATCTGGAAAACATTTCAATTGATTTAGTTAAATAACACCATAAACAATGAAACAATTTTCATAAAATGATAAAATGTTTAAGAACAAACGATTTTCAACAACATTTTTAAAAGAACGACGGTTCAGTCACCACAAAAGTCAAAGATGCCATTTCGAAAAAACGCTTTTAAAGTTTTAAGTGAGCGCACAAGACAGAAGTCGACTCCCTTTCAATACTTATATCAGGACTTATTATATATACTTATTTTAAGGACTTATTAGGGTAAAAACCTCTCAAGTGGATCACTTCATTTTCGAAGGTCTGAACTTCATGGAACTTTTGGGTTCGCAACAAACAAAAAGAAGGCAATTTAATCGGTTCTGAAAATGTTAAGAATTACGAAAGTAACCAGCGTTCGGATAATTATAATACTCTCAGTAAGGGTATAAACAATACAAAAATACAAACACAGCAAAGCATTTTCAACCCTGACTAGAACATTGCCTCTCGTAAAGAGATCCCAAGATTAAATTGAGAAAGTAACTGATGCTTAACGAGAAAACTAACTTTTCGTGACAACCTAACTGATACTGAAAGAGAAATGTCATTGAGAAATAGATACTGAAAGTTCGTAATGCATGAAACTCTGACCTCACAGTGCAAATTCAAATTGTGTGATATCTTTTCGCTTTCAGGTTATTGATTCCGCCACGGAAGACTACAGCTCGTTGAATGAGGAGGGTACCGACAGCCGAACCGACTCCATTGAGATATTCGGGGCTGTGGCCTCGCTCTTTGAGTCCAGCGATCCGGGCATCATCTTCAAGCTGCAGATACAAACGCCAACGATGCAGAATCCGTTCGTGATTGGCTTCGACAACCAGGAAACGGCCTACGAGTGGATTAAGGCCATCCAGGAGGCGGCCCTCATCGCCAGCCAGCTGGCATCGGAGCGCCGAAAGAAGGAACGCACCGCCCGAGTGGCCAAGGAGATGTCCGACCTGATCATCTACTTCCGCAGCGTGCCCTTCCGCGAGCACTCGTGGATATTCCAGGAGATGTCCAGTTTCCCCGAAACGAAGGCGGAAAAGCAGTTCTTCCAGCAGAACACCCAGCTGTTCCTCTGCTACCACCGCAACCAGATCAGTCGAGTGTACCCGAAGGGCCAGCGGTTGGACTCGTCCAACTTCAATCCCATGCCATTCTGGAATATCGGATCGCAGATGATCGCCCTCAACTACCAGACGGGTGACAAGGCCATGCAGCTGAACCAGGCCAAGTTCAGGAACAACGGCCAGTGCGGCTACATCTTGAAGCCGGTGTTCATGAAGTCCGATGGCTTCCACCCCAACACTCCCTTGTCCGACCACTCCAGCGAGGTGAATGTGAGCATTCGCCTTATTGCGGCCCGCCACCTGTTCCGGGGTGGCAAGTCCAACAATCCGCAGATCGTGGTCGAGATAGTGGGGGCCAGTTATGACACGGGCGTCAAGTATCGAACCAAGGTCAACGAAAACGGCTTCAATCCCGTGTGGAACGAAACGTGCGAGTTCGTCGTGCGCAATCCGCAGTTCGCGATCCTTCGCTTCGAGGTTCAGGACGAGGACATGTTCGCCGAGACGCACTTCATTGCCCAGGCCTGCTATCCACTGACCTGCATACGCCAAGGCTACCGCAGCGTCATCATGTGCAACAAGTTCAGCGAGGAGCTGGAACTGTCCTCCTTGCTGGTCCACATCAAGATTGCGAATTCCACTTCCCCATAGTTAAGTATACTGGATCGATCATTGAAAGGTGTATGCATGTTCAGCTGAATGGATGGTTCGATTGTTTGAGAAACAATTGTAGAAACTGAAAGAGAGCAAGGATGCGAAGCAATTTGTCAGACGCTGTAAATACACCATGGCATCAAACTATGACCTGATTCTACGACTCATATTAGCTTTAGCAGGGAGACACATCATTTGATTTCATTAGGATTCATTTTAGTTCCCATCAGAGCTATACAATCAATAACAACACGGGAACACAGAATTCAATTTTTTTGAAATTTCCACGAACCATGTAGTCACACACACACATATCACATATTGGTTCCGACATTTCGACATTTTCAATTATGTCGCCCAAACAGTTTACATTAACCAATTGCTTGTGCTGAAACAGACTCTCTATGAACTATCGCACAAAAAGGTACCCAAATTTAAAATCTTACATGTTTTTAAATTACTCTTATTGTGAAGTGATTTAGAAATTATGGAAATAATTGTAATATTCTTTGTAATCTACTCTTCTCTCAATGTTTTCTTAAAGTTTTCATAAGGTCATTTTATTTGTAAAAGCATACTATGTTTTTTCTCCAAATTAAATAAATAAATAGCATAAATGCATCATAACAGTATTTATGAATTTATCTTACTGTTGTAGGCTGCCATAACTTATTTAAAATTGGAGAAAAGATAGCAGTAGATAATAACCCAAAAATTGTGCTTTTAATGCAATAAGGATCCAATTAATATCCTTCAAAATAATATTTAAACCGAAAAAAACACAGAAGCCTGTAGATTCCAAGAGAATTTAAAATTGTTTCCATTGAAGATATTTTTGTTAGAGGCGCTCTAATCTTGGAATAATTGTTAAAAATTATATATTTAACAGTGAAAATCGGTGATGTGTAGAGTGCATCAGCAAAAAAATATTAATTAATTCTAGTTATATGGGCCCCATTATTAAAAATGGCGGACTTTTACAGGGAGCACACATATATCATGGAAAAATACAAAAGGTTCGTGGAATTTTTTGGTTGTGTACCTGTGTAACCAAGATCGTACATACTGAAACTTAAACTAAATTGTTGAAGCCCCTACGGATAAGTTTAACGTTTTCTTCTTTTTTCTTTCTTTTTTCTCCTGAATCGAAGTCTTGTTCACCAATTAATGTTCCATTACCGTAAAGTTTTTCCCGAATATCGAATGCACCACCGAAATTGAACTAAAACCGGTCATTTTGATATATAAGGAAATTAAAAAAAAATAATTTTCTAGTACAGAACACGTTTAGCGTTTATTATTTTTTGTTTAGTTATACCTACATTTTGTGAAATTTTGAAAGAGTCATGCCAATCTAACATCCTTTATTCTTTCATCTGACCTAATGTCGTAGTCTATCAATTACACTTTTAGTTAAGACTTTAAGTCAAGAGAACAAAATAGCAAGAATAAGTTAAAACTATCCACGAAGGTTATTTGCCCTGAATTAGGTTTCGAACCACTACTTTTCAACATGTAGCCCTAATCCTGTTTTAGTTTCGACATTTAACTCTTACTTAGCCAAGTATAACCATTTTGCATGGATAAACTTAAATATTCAAAATATTTGTTTGACATTATTGATAGTTATTGTTTTTTTTACTTCATCATTAAAAAGGTTAAATATTATTTTTCAACCCAAAAATGTTTAATTTGTCGAAGGTATTTTTTGTTTTCGAAAGCTAAAAGTTAATCTATTCTAATCAAATTTTAATCTCATTTTAATTAAAATGGGCTAGAAGATACTGAATCACTTGTTGTGTATAATATCTATTAAATGAAACTTGAATATCGAACATTCGATTCGAAGATCAAAAGCAATTCGTGTGAATAGCAAAAGGGCTTAAAATGGACTAACGATTTAGTTTTATTTTCAAATCGAATAAATTATTTTATTGTCCCGCAAGTTAAGCTTTAAGTTCTGTTGATGAACTTTTGTTAATTTAAATGGTTTAAGCCGGCCAATCAGTTTTCCTTTTTTCTGATTTTGTTTGAATCGCAAACAACTAAAAATCCAACCGATCTTTATGTAAAACCCTAAAGTCTAACAGGTGTTTGTGTAAAGAGGCCTTTGGAAAAAAAATTATTTAAAAAAAAGTTATACACATTTTTAAAGAAACAAGGAAAAATATTACTGCAAATGTATCCCAATATATGTTATATTTCTTATTTTATGGGTAATTTCGAAACATTTAATTTAAATTTCCTTAAAAACCTAGAATTCTCCAGTTAAGCAAACATTTTTTGAATAATTTGTAGTTTTGGCTCATTACATTCATGTACTCCTTAAAGTGGTGAGGGTATAGCAATTGTTAAAACAAAATCTTTTGAACTAGTGCCTTAAACTGCATAATTTGAATTAACTTTAATTTAAAAAACTAGGAATAAGTGTCATTTCCAATAAACTATTCTCGAGAACGTCACAAAAACCAAAATGTAGCACTGGTTCACGTTTACCCTTTTACATAAATATATATATATATATTAATATTTCCTTCTTTTTGAGCCGCGTTTGAAAAATGCGAGTGCTTTGAGCTTTGCTGCTTAAGGGCTGATCAGATTTTTAACCGCTATTAATGCAAAAAATCAAAACAAAAAGTTTTAGCGTTCAATAACACAAATTGTTCATTATTTTAATACGGAAATCAGCTGTTTTAAAGAAAAAAGATTTGCACTTTGATAATCCAAAAATTATTCTTAAGAAGATTGTGGCTTATTTTTCTGCTAATACAAAATAATAATTTATATATTATATGTATTTTTTAATTCGTTCAATCAACATGGCATTTACATTTATTCATTCATATAGGTCAAATGATTTCAAATGCATTTATTGAAAGCAATCATACAGGGGTCCATTATCTTCTACTATTGTTTGTCCGATTTTCTTTCATAGAATCACGGCCACAATCTACAGATTTCCGGAAATACAACAAACATAGGAACAAAATTAAAATACCCACTTCATACATGCTCTTCAAGGGATACAATATACCCTTTTACTCCTCGAGTAAAAGTATCATAATAATAATTAAATTAAATTAAATTAATTCAAGAAACTAAACACATTCTCGCTTGACTATAATCCGAGAGACTTGCAAATTCTAAACATATCAAAATACTAAAGCTTAATTTATATGTAAGTTCGATAATATGCACTAGTCGATTTGAGGAGTAGTAAATAAATGCTCTTGCTTATGAGTGTCGAAAGGTTAACAATTTGAAAACTAAGCATTCCATTCGAATGCGCTTAGATTATCGAATTTTATTTCCACATGTGCACTATTGGATACTTCTCTAAACAAACAATTGTCATGCATTTGCATTTAATTATACAATAGCGCAAGTAAAACAAAATGTCGCGCAAGATCTTATTCGGTAATTTTTTGTCTTGAGTATTAGTCAATCATTTCATGTACCCAAAATGTATTCAAGTTGTCCTTTCCGTTTTTATTGAATGTATCTGTGTTTAAACCATATATTTAATTATTTTGTAATTTTGTATTTACAGTGTACACACAATATGTACAACATACATACATTATTTAATGCCAAATAAATGTTTTCCGGCGTTAGCTGTCTATGAATTATACATATATGTAGTTTTATTTTATGCGTTGGTAGTTTTTCATTCAGTATAATATGATTACAGTATAATAGCCAAATCCCTATAGGATTGAATTTGAAGGTAAGCATTTTAAATAATTCTAAGCATTTTTTATATAAACATAAAGTATTACGTATTACACTGAACATGTTCAATAATCTTACCAATCGAACGACTTTTTCATATAGCTCCGATAAGCACGATCAGGTAAAATGTCCCAAATTTTGTTGTTCTCGAGAAAGTTTTTACTATAACGTCTATATTTTCGTTGTTTTCTGTTCTTTATCCTGAGAAAGTATAAAGAGGACGTGGGCGTTTTTCATTTTTATACCCATTAAAGGGTATATTGTATTCGTTGAAAAGTATGTAACAGGTAGATGTAAGCGTTTCCGACCATATAAAGTATATATATATATTGTTGATCAGGATCAATAGCCGAGTCGATCAAGCCATGTCCTTCTGTGAGGGACCTCTATATAACGGCAACTGTAAAAGCTAGAGATTTTGGACTTGGCATGCAGATTCTAGAAGTTCCTAAGCAGTGTAAGTTTATTTCAAAACGGAGCCACGCCCACTCTAACGCCCACAAATAGTGAAAGTATGTACTGCCACTGATCGGTCGCTATTCTACCGCTGCTAGCAGATGAGAGAGAGAGAAAGAGAGAGAGACTTACAGAACTGTAAGCGGGTTACAGAACCACTAGGCTAGGCTACTAGAGATGAAAAAGAAGGCTGAAATGAACTTAGCACGCAGGATTATTATTATATTATTAGGCCTCAAAAAGTATTTAAAAGCGGAATATAATAAGAGCACGAAGTGAACCAAACCAAACAACAAATGATTAGAAATCTTTAGAACTCAAAACAATTATTAATATTTTAAATTTAAACTCTTGTGGAATAACAGTCAGCAAAGTCACTTAAATGTTATTGGAAAAAAGAATCTCAATTAATTTTTAAATGTCGGCCCAATTTGCACGGAATATTCCTTTTTTTTGTGTACAGTTTCACCCCATTACGAGAACTACTTTGATACGAGCTCATTATTTTTCCCAGATATGACTATCCCTTTCTATTTGATGGTGTTTTCGTAGTCAGATCATAAATTGTTACTTTTATTGTGTGATATTTATTGGACATGTGAGAAATATGATTTACTTGTAATTAAAATTCGCGTCTATGGTATTTGTCAGGGTCGAAATATGATGTAACGACAACGCGATCGCTGAATTTTCTTCCAGTAAGTGCCTGCTGAGCCTTCTGACAGTCGAGAACCGAGTTAAATTCGACAAAGACTTTGCCGCATCCCGGGACTTCCACGCCCTCAATGGGACGCGGTATCTCCACGCTTCGCACGACTCCGTACTTCGTGCACTCTTCCTTGATATCTTCCAATATATCCTCATACTCCTCCTCGTCCCGCAGTTCATCAGGGGTGACCATGTTGAGCAAGCAGAGTACCTCTGTCGGTGGCCCGGATGTGACCACATTTGAAAGACCCGGTACTTGCAGCATAACGGATTGAGTGGTGTTGGCAGCGTTCTGCGCGTTCTTTGCACCCACACTAGCACGTTGAACAATCAGTTTCTTGTCACCCAGCTGCATTCCATTCAAACCAGCAATTGACTTTAAAAAGTAAAAGACAGAAAATACTATTAGAACAAAGTTTGCCATAAGACTGATTCAGGTGAGCACAGTCTCAAGTCGATTGCAATGCATATGAATACGTTTCCTACCTGATCGGTGATGCTTAGATCCACATATTCGCAGAATGCGTACCCTTTGCTCAATCCAGTAGCAGCGTCTTTAACAAGGTTAAATGCTCGTAGCTTGCCGAACGACAAAAGCAGTTCCTTAACCTTTAAGAAAATGTTTCCGTTGGATTCAATTAATAACCATATAGACACCGTCTGCTTTTCTACAAACCTGATCGTCATTTAAATAATTTGGCAGACCTCCAATGAAGATTTTATGAGGGGAGTCCGGAACCACCGTCGAAATAACTCCGCTTGAAACTGTAAAATGGGCGAGTTGGCGTTAGACTGCTGACTTTGACCAGTGAACTGGAGCAGTGACTTACCAACAGCTGGCTTAATTGCTGGTGTATCCGTAATACCCGGCATAGGCTGGTAATCATGCGGACGCCTGATCTTCAAACTCTGTCCCTTTAAATTTATGCCGTCGAATGCCATGGCCTGGGTGGTTTCATCTATTGACCTGAACTCAAGGAAAGCGAAGTTTTTGTCCAGGTTTATCTGGCAAGCCAGGACCGGGCTTCCGGCCGCCTGTGCCAAGCCAACTAAATGCATCTGTTGGTTGAAGAACTCCATCATCTCCTCCTCGGTGACGCCAAACGGAATGTTGCCGACGTATAGGCGACGCGCCTGGCGGGTGATTGTCGATCCGACCACGGGCACCGCCGTCTGGGGAGTGTCCGGCACAACGCTGGCCGGGATTTGCCCGGACGCCTGCATGGCTTTGTACTGCATTGGGGTGATGTGCTCGAATCCCGGCGGCGGCACATCCCAGTAGAGCGACGGCTTACGCCGCGAGTTGCGATGATGGCGTCGGTCCCTGGAGCGGTCGCGATGGCGATCACGGGAGCGGGAACGATGGCGACGTCTTTCCCGGTCACGTTCACGATCTGCAAGAATATATGTTATACATAAATAAAAAAAATTCAGTCAGACCACCGGAGGCATAACAGCACTAGGCGTACAGCATACACGCTGATGCACATATACAAATAGTTTTAATGAATGCTTACTAGCATCTTTACATATCAATTACTTCACCTTTTCGCAAAAAACCAAGTGTTTATTGTTGAAAATCAATCATTTTTCCATATGCACAAGTTTTAATGAAACTTATGGCAAAACTACATACTATGTACATATGGATGTGCATGTATGTAAGCCGCCGAGGTTAAAAAAAAAATAAAAAAAAACAACCGGTCAAAAACTAGAAGCGGTTGACCGGGAACTTTCCGGTGCACAAAACCATTGAGAACAATAACAAAAAAAAACTGAGTGGGCGCGTCAGAATTGTCAAACAAATTTGGTTGCACATTTTCAATTTCTCAACTTAATATAATACGCTTGTATGTATGTATACACATACATCCATTTATGCACACTCGAGCATTTTAATGCGAGCCAATTATTTGTTAACTTCATTTAACTCACCATCGTATCCCATTATTATATGTAAATAAAATTAATATCTTTTTAAACGAAAACAATTTTTACTATACAAAATGCCGATGAAAAATGTATCCCTTTAATGCGTGTATTAATGCAGATAACTGCGAAACGATATAAAACAGAACACGTGAAAACTGGAGAACAATGGAATGGAACGAAGACAGTACTCTCGATTAACAAAGAGTTGCATTTTCAAAAATATCGTTCAGTGATTATCGGCATGATTTCTTTTGTAAGGTAGCTAAAGTAAATTAATTGAAAAATAATATTTCACCCGCTCCTTTATAATTTTCTAAAGTCTCTTGTTATAAGCGTCACCTAAACCTTGACATTAAAAATTACAAATATAACGTCCAGTTTCTTGCACCCCAATAAAAGAGACTGTGACGTCAGAGCAAGTTCGGCACCCTTTCAGGCATGCACAAATTGTTTTGTTTTGCTTGAAAGAGGCCGGTGTTTTGTTATTGAAACGACTATGAGCATCAAGATATATTTACCGTTCGACTACTATTGCCGGAAGAAGCCCACCAATTTGTACGGTCAAGTGCAGATAAATGAAGATAATGTCGTAGTGTATTACGTCCTGGAAGCTTTAGATTTGGAATTTGGGGACAAACCTATAAATCATGTATCGAGCAATACGCGTTTCTTGGGTTCTATTCTGAACGGGGACTTTAATGCCGACCAAAGCCAGTATCTCAAATTAAATATGCGGCTATGCTTTACGTACAACAGCAGTCAACCAAACATAACGCTGGTGTACATTGGGATCACCCCGGAATATCTGAAACACATAAAACTAATTCTCTATGAAAAGCAAATTATGCGAAATATGTTTGTTGGTGGGGAGTCTGTAAATAACCAAGATGCAGCATGCAATGATTGCGACTTTCTCGAGCTATCCAGATTGGCACAGGCCACAGTTGATACTCAAAAGCCAACTAATCACACAATAAAACGTGTCCTATTTGTGCTAACTCTCATTGCCGACTCTCCGATTTCAATATTTAAATGTGTTGTTGAAAATGTATTTGTCAATAGCATAATAATTCATACGACTATCTACAAGCACTTCAAGGAATGGCAAGCAACCTGTGATAAACGGTAATGAACGTAAAATAAACGAACTAACTTAATCGATACCACCATTTATTTTCGAAAACTTACGATTTAACTTGTTTATTTGTTTTGACAGTACTCGCTCGGCTAATATTGCTCTTGATAGAATAATTGGAGTTACATTGATGCTTATCCTTTTTTCACTAGCGACACAGCCTGGAGATTTTCTAATACCAATATCCCACGTAAGTCTTTCACCCAACGTTTAAAATAAAGTGACGTCATGTTTTCAATTTGTTAGTACGTGATTGACGAATTATACAGCCTATTAAAGGTTTTAGAGGGCAGTCCTATTGGCCTCAAGCTGAATATACATTTAAATAATTTCTTTCTGGACTGCTTTAAATACCACATTGAATTGTGGTCGACGTTTTTGGGTAAGTATTGCACTAAATTAATTACTTATCACAAGCCGAAGTTTATATACTCTTGCAGCTATTGCAAAAATTAAATATTCCTTAAAACATTTAAATTATGATTTATTTGTGTATATGTAAAAAACATTGAAGCTTTGATGATTTGCAGCTTAATTACTCGATCGTTCCTATGGCAGCTATATGATATCGTTTTTCGATTTGAATAAAATCATGGCGTAATTCTGAACTTTAAATTATTAATAAGTCAAAAAGAATTTTTAAATAAAATTACAAAATACAAAAGTTGCAAATATACAAATTTTTTAGGACTAGTTTGCGTAGAAACGGACGGACAGACGGACATGGCTAGATCAACTTTCCTAGTGATGCTGATCAAGAATATATATACTTTATAGGGTATATAAAAAGCGTATCGACCTGAGTTTAAAATCAGCTTTAAGCTTGAGCTTGATCTGTTTGTCTATAATATTAGAAGCATAGACCATGAGATCATGGAGTCATTGAGTAACATCAAGTCCTAGATTAAAGACAATTAAATTTTGTAGAATCCGCGCGAATTTTTCAGCTTAATATCTTTGTATATGACAGCCATTGACGGGGCTAGGTGTAGATTGACTTGACTGGATGTACGGTGGTTGCGTTTTTTACAGTTGACAATATACGCATACAGATTGCAAATTGACACGATTGAAATACATTAGGTTGGTTTATTGGTCCGTAGAGAAATCTGGTTTCCCATTCTTGACAAAAGTATTATTAACACCTAATAATTATTTTATTTTCAAAGATTTTATCGAACCTTTAGTGCGACAAGTATTTTTGGCAATCGGAGCGTTTGGGTCCTTGGGTCTCACATTCCAGATAGCGCTTCTAGTGGACTTAATATCCGTTATTGGATTACATTCACATTGCTTCTATATTTATACCAAAGTGTAAGTAGGAAATCAACTAATTAATGCATCAAATACATTAAATTAATAAGCCTTTTTCTTTTAAAATAAAAATTAATTTTAACAGGCTCTACAATGTAGAAAGAAAAGGTCTGTCAGTACTATGGCAAGTGGTTCGAGGCAACCGTTTCAACATTTTAAAAGGTAAGTTTACTTATTATGGTGAAACAAGAACTACGTTCTGTTTTTAAATCTTGCTTCTTTTTAGGTCGCATAGAGTCTCATAATTATATGAATCGGCAGTTATATCTGGCAACTATATTTTTCTCGGCCATTTTGTTCCTGTTTCCTACTACCTTTGTCTATTATATTGTTTTTGCTGCTGTAAGTTTATACATTACAAGAAATATTAAGTTTGATATTAACACTACAATCTTTAAAGCTTAAGGCGCTTACCTTTGCAACACTTAGCATTTTTGAGTTTTTCCGAAGGAAACTGCTGAATCTTCCGCTTGAAGGATGCATAAAATGGTTTATAAAAAGATGTGTTGATATAGGTGCGTGAATTGGAAAATGCGGACCAAAAAAGTTAAAAATTTTAAAATTTCCCTTTTTTCAGATTGCCTTCAAATCAAGGATGTTTCACCACACGAAAAGGCTTGTGTAATACATAAAAATCATAGAATCAATGTGTCCGTATATAAAATTCAAACCACACAAACCGAGCCAAATATGTAATTTTCAAAGAGAAATTTGACGTAATACCGTTAGAAACAAAATTTGGAATTTGTTATAAGTCTGTTGTCATATAAATTAATAAACGTAGTATGTATTTTTTAAGAGCTATATACTAGAGCTATATAGTAAGCGTTTTGACAGTATTTATATTCTTGTTGATTAAAGGGGTCTTACAAGTGAAACTTTTTCGTTTAAATCAATTTTTTTTTGCCTAATCGATGGTTTACAAATTCAAAAACATCCTGTGAAAGCGGCAAGGTCGTGCCCAAAATAGTTTTTGAATAGAGCGTTCTAAAGGCCGACTGCTCGCAGGCATATACCGCTGCACCTGAAACTTCGAACGCGTTTATATAGAAAGGAAGGACGTTTTTTATACCCTTGCAGAGGGTATTATAATTTCAGTCAGAAGTTTGCAACGCAGTGAAGGAGACATCTCCGACCCTATAAAGTATATATATTCTTGATCAGCATCACTAGGCGAGTCGATCTAGCCATGTCCGTCTGTCAGTCTGTCCGTTTGTCCGTCCGTTTATATGCAAACTAGTCTCTCAGTTTTAAAGCTATCTGCATGAAACTTTCCCAAAAGTTGTCTTTCTATTGCAGGTAGTATATAAGTCGGAACGAGCCGGATCGGACGACTATAGCATATAGCTCCCATAGGAACAATCATAAAAAAAAATAAAAAAATATTATAACTTTGCCGTTTTTTAATTTTTTTTTTAGTTCTTCGACATATAGTAATGGTTAGATATTTCAGAATTACGGTTTAAATTTCATCAAAATCGGACGACTATATCATATAGCTCCCATAGGAACAATCGGAAAAAAAATACAAACAAAATTATAACTTTGCTGTTTTTAAATTTTTCTATTAGTTCTTCGACATATAGTAATGGTTAGATATTTCAGAATTACGGTTTAAATTTCATCAAAATCGGACGACTATATCATATAGCTCCCATAGGAACAATCGGAAAAAAAATACAAACAAAATTATAACTTTGCTGTTTTTAAATTTTTCTCTTAGTTCTTCGACATATAGTAATGGTTAGATATTTCAGAATTACGGTTTAAATTTCATCAAAATCGGACGACTATATCATAAAGCTCCCTTGGGAACAATCGGAAAAATAATTGAAAAAAAATTATAAATTTGTTGTTTTTCAATTTTTTTTTTTAGTTCTTCGACATATAGTAATGATTAATATTTCAGAATTACGGTTTAAATTTCATCAAAATCGGACGACTATATCATTTAGCTTCCATTGGAACAATCGGGAAAAAAATACAAAAAAAATAAAACTTAGCTGTTTTTCAATTTTTTTTTTAGTTCTTCGACATATAGTAATGATTAATATTTCAGAATTACGGTTTAAATTTCATCAAAATCGGACGACTATATCATAAAGCTCCCTTGGGAACAATCGCAAAAAAATACAAAAAAATTATAACTTTGCTGTTTTTCAATTTTTTTTTAGTTCTTCGACATATAGTAATGGTTAAATACTTCAGAATTTCGGTTTAAATTTCATCAAAATCGGACGACTATATCATTTAGCATCCATTGGAACAATCGGGAAAAAAATACAAAAAAAATTATAACTTAGCTGTTTTTCAATTTTTTTTTTAGTTCTTCGACATATAGTAATGATTAATATTTCAGAATTACGGTTTAAATTTCATCAAAATCGGACGACTATATCATAAAGCTCCCTTGGGAACAATCGGAAAAAAAATACAAACAAAATTATAACTTTGCTGTTTTTAAATTTTTCTCTTAGTTCTTCGACATATAGTAATGGTTAGATATTTCAGAATTACGGTTTAAATTTCATCAAAATCGGACGACTATATCATATAGCTCCCATAGGAACAATCGCAAAACAAATACAAACAAAATTATAACTTTGCTGTTTTTAAATATTTCTATTAGTTCTTCGACTTACAGTAATGGTTAAATACTTCAGAATTTCGGTTTAAATTTCATCAAAATCGGACGACTATATCATTTAGCTTCCATTGGAACAATCGGGAAAAAAATACAAAAAAAAATTAAAACTTAGCTGTTTTTTAATTTTTTTTTTAGTTCTTCGACATATAGTAATGATTAATATTTCAGAATTACGGTTTAAATTTCATCAAAATCGGACGACTATATCATAAAGCTCCCTTGGGAACAATCGCAAAAAAATACAAAAAAATTATAACTTTGCTGTTTTTCAATTTTTTTTTAGTTCTTCGACATATAGTAATGGTTAAATACTTCAGAATTTCGGTTTAAATTTCATCAAAATCGGACGACTATATCATAAAGCTCCCTTGGGAACAATCGCAAAAAAATACAACAAAAATTATAACTTTCATTTATTTTTTTTAGTTCTTCGACATATAGTAATGATTAAGTATTTCAGAATTACGGTTTAAATTTCGGTGACAAATAAATTAAGTGGCAGCCTCAACCAGAGAGCGGGAAAACAAGAGGCGAAACCCAAGAAAATAAAGACTGCCCCGGGGCTCTGCCCAGTATTACAACAATATCATCCAGTCAGCAGCAACAGGTGGCTATCCTTGGGAGTTGGGTAGACTCGACTAGGAGATACCATAGGGTTTGAAGAAGTTTCAGAATCCCATTTTAAGCCTGTTCCCTTTCTTGTTTTATAGTTATGTGAAAGCAAATGAAGTGTATTTATTGATATGGGTTTCATATAAAAGGACTTCGAAAATTCTACATGGACTTATCATTTTCTGAAAATTTCAAATTTGTTCCCTTTTTCTTGATCAAACTATCCATGCTTTTAATTTCGAGTTCTACTTACACCCATCAGTCCCTACAGAATTCAGTATACACAACCATGTCGGGGAAATAACAAACAGGAAATTGCCGTCTGAACAATACAAAAAAGCCTAATTTAGTTTTAAGCATAAAGTGTTAAATAACATTTTTGAAAAACACTTTCTTAATAAACAAAACCCAACAAAAAAATGCTTGCTAAAGGACATAAAAAGAGATTGTACAAAAAACCCGGTTAACCATGCAGTAAGTAAATAATATTAACGCAACTTTTTCTTGCTATGTTAAATATATGAATTACATTTCAAAGCTTGCCAACTGAATGCGATTGATACTTGATTGAACGTAGACTTCAAATTCCCTGTTAAACACTTAAACCGAATGGCAAACAAGTTGAGTGGAGGATCAACCGTATCTTGCAGTGCAGTGCAGTTCAGTTCTCAATCAATTAAAAACTGGACAAATGGTGAGTAGTAACCTAGCAAATATTTATTTAAATACATTAATTTTTTTTATTTTGTATTCCAGATGGCAAGCACTTGAAAGTTCGAAAACAAATGTCCAACAAGGAGGATACTGGAGTCAACTACTGAACTGCACCACCGAAACTTAAACCATCCCACCACTCTATTGGATCTTGTCCCTGCTCTTCTCGTCCGGCACTATTATTTGTAAACACAAAGACACTTACAAAAATACACTTGGCAAAAAAGAAAACTTGTCTATGGTCTTCATTCAAAATCCGGGATATACCGGGAATACACTTAAAATTAGTCTTTCGACTTAAAAATCATAATTTAAATACAAAATGGGAAGTAAATTTCTAGCGCAACACAATCTAGTTGTGCATACCCAGCTTATTTCCAGATACCCACTATAATAATCACAACAACTAGCTGCAATTAAGAGTAAGTCGCTGGTTTGCTGGAGCTTAAGAACGCCCCTTTGAGATTTATTAAACGCTCGGTGATTGGAGGAAGGTAATTACTCATAATGGCTACACAAAAGGTGAAATAAATAAATGGTTGACTTGTCAATGGAGTGCTCAAAAAACGATCAATGGAGTTTAAAGATTAATTGTTTTATATAATTATACCCTTGCAGAGCGTATTGTAATTTCAGTCAGAAGTTTGCAACGCAGTGAAGGAGACATCTCCGACCCTATAAAGTATATATATTCTTGATCAGCATCACTAGGCGAGTCGATCTAGCCATGTCCGTCTGTCCGTCCGTCTGTCTGTCCGTCTGTCCGTCCGTTTCTACGCAAACTAGTCTCTCAGTTTTAAAGCTATCTGCATGAAACTTTCCCAAAAGTTGTATTTCTATTGCAAGTAGTATATAAGTCGAAACGAGCCGGATCGGACGACTATAGCATATAGCTCCCATAGGAACAATCAAAAAAATAAATACAAACAAAATTATAACTTTGCTGTTTTTAAATTTTTCTTTTAGTTCTTTGACATATAGTAATGGATAAATATTTCAGAATTACGGTTAAAATTTCATCAAAATCGGACGACTATATCATATAGCTCCCATAGGAACAATAAAAATATATAAAATAACTATCAAATAATTGAGCTGCAAATCATCATAGCTGCAATGTTTTTCAGCATATACTCAAGTAAATCATAATTTAAATGTTTTCAAAAGTATTTAATTCATGCAATAGCGGCAAGGGTATATGAACTTCGGCTTGCCGAAGTTTGCTTTCTTTCTTGTTTTATATATTATATCGATTTCAATCGACTTTGTTTCGATTTTTTATGTTCTGATAATCTAAAATCTAAAAATGTAATAAAAGTTTGAATTAACGACGAAAGCGAGTGTTTGCAATGGAGTTCAATTGATCACTGGCTTTACTATTAATATGTATTACTAAGCTATTTTTAGATTTTTGCGTATATGTTTTAAAACATTGAAGCCATGATTATTTTCCGGTGAATTATTAATATATCGATGTTCGATAATAATATTATTACATTTAAATTAAACTTGAAATGCAATTGTCTGTTACTTGTTTCAGAAATATGTGATAGCTGAATCTAACATACAAATACATACAAATACTCCAAAATAACAATATTGTTTTTGCCTTTACAAACTAAAACAAATTAGTATTTAAGAAATTAGGCTATAAATCGAAACAATAATAACTTAAAACTGTAGCTGTAGCTATTCAGTTACATGTTCATAAGAATAATATTAGTTAAGCATTATTACAATGGTTTGAGCTACAATGTTTAAGATTCTTGGATGACACAGATGACAAAATTTTTTTGTAATTCACTTTTTATAAACTTTAAACAGAATTTTACTGCAGATTTTATCATTTGTA